GATTGTTAGCCATTTTGTGCCTTCTAATGAAAAGCTGCCGAACTCACAGTAGTGAGACTGTTTTACTGATAAGAAACAATAAACACCTGGGTCTGAACATGAACTACTGTCAAAAGTGCCTTCAATCCACACCCAGAGAAACCAACAACTGGTACCCCCACAGCTAGTGCAAGTACTACAAGAGGGTGAGGGATTTGTCTCTCCAGATGAGGCAGAACTCGACATGAGGAGCCCAAAGCCAGGGCCACTCCCTTTCTGGTGGCTCCCCCGTCGGTGACTCACCCCCATGAGACCGAGCAGGATGTATTCATTGAGAGTGCACAGGGTGACTTCCAGCAGGGCCAGCAGCAGCATCTGCACAGGGTTTACCCTGCCTAGAACAGCTCCAGTGGAGATCAGAACAGCTGCGGTGCAGAAATCAGCACTGACCATGCTGGGAAGGAGAGGAAAAGTGTGGGACTAGAGCTGGCACTGCCAGGGATGAGCACAGGGGCTGGGGAGAGCTGGGAGGGATCAGGGGCTGAGCCTGCAGCCCACTGCTCCTGCAAGCTGAGCAGGCAGAGTTTGTGATGCTGGTGACAAAGGGATGGGCTTGAGGCAGGTGGGGGCCACAGTGCCCCCCTGAATGCCTTGGCAGTGCTCACACAGCCCTTGCCAGGGCAGAACTCAAACAACCCCGTCCCACTTGCCTTCAAAATCCTGCTCAAAAGCAGAGCCATGAGTTTTACAGAGGAGGGAGCCAGTGTGCCAGGGCTGGGCTGGGCTGGGCTGCCTGGGCAGCAGCAGCTCCCTCCTGCCTTACCTCTGAGCTCCCACGTAAATTTTGCCATTGAGGAAGAAGAAAAGCATGCCCTGGATCAGAACAGCCCACTGGATGGTGAAGGCAGTGATGAGGATGATGATGGCTGCACTGCCTGGCCCATAGCGGCTGAGGAACACCACCAGGAGCCCAAAGCTGAGGAGCACTTGGATGTGGGCATCCTGAAAACCTGCTGGAGGAGAGGCACAAGGATGGGTGTGGAGGTGCTGAGGGCAGGCAGCCACCCTTCCTGCTGGTCCCTGAGGGGACTCGGCCAGGGCTGAGACACCCCTGCTCTAACAGGCTTTGGGGAGCTGAAAGCTCGCTCCACTCCGTGTGAATCTGGGGCCACGGTGGAAGATCTTCCTTGGGGATCTGTGGTGGGACAGGTACAGCCACCCCTGCCTGCAGGGACCCTTTGCAGCAGCTCCTGGGCACCCCATCTGCAGCTGCCCTGTGCAGACATCTCAGGGCATTCACCCCACAGCACGGAAAGCTCCTGGGGTGCCCGAGAGCTGTCTGCACCCACCAGACCAGCACGAAAGTGGCTCTGAGATGTCAGCACCCCTGGGACCTCGCTGCTGCCCCTGAAGGCATCAGTCCAGTCATTCCAAGGCATCGTGTCCCAATTCACAGGACGAGAGAGGAAGGACAAGCAGAGAATTGGGATCGGTCTGGTACCATTTGGTGGCAAACCAGAGGATGGGGGGCTCGATTCTTGCTTGGGCTGAGTGCCCTTTGCACCCCTCCAGCTGACAGCTGTGGCCCGGCCTCCTCCGTGAGTCACTGCCTGGGTGGGGTTATGTGGGCAGGAGAAACCGGGAAAACCTGCCGGCTGCCGGCTGCCAGCTCTCTGCCCGGCGGCTCCGCTCGCTCCCCCCTCTCTGCCGGGGCACTCTGAAGCTCCTGTCCCACTGACCACCCTGTCTGCGGCTCAGAAAAGCGAGGGGCAGCCCCTTACCCCGGCAGGAGCTCTGCAGTGACACCCAGCATGTGGCAGGATGCTGCAGACCCTGTTGGACCCTGTGGTAGTACCCAGGGAGCCAAATCCTCTGTGGAAGGGGCTCAGTGAATCCCCCGGCACTGCAAACCTGGCTGGTCAGTGGGAAGCTCTGCAGAGCCTGAAGTGCCAGGAGCAGCTGCTGTGCTCCCTACCAGCCATGGGATGATGATCCCCAGTTTTTCACTGCACTCAGTGATCCCTTCTGAGCTCCACTGCTCTAACACACCTCCCAGACCCAAATTTCCCTCTTTTGGGGCTGGCTCTGTCCAAGCATTTCAGAAATCCTTGCAGCATGTCTGCTTTACCCGCTCTGGGAATCACCAGCACCCGAACCCTGCAGCTCGATGCTCCCTCTCTGTTAGCTCTGGAGCCAGTGACAGGTCTGAACGGTGTCACCCGGTGCCATCCCCTCAAGCAGAAGGGCTCTCTGCACCCCACGGCCACGGGAGTACTCACGGGGCTGCTGGAAAGCCGAGTCCTGGCTCCTGCGGCTGCAGTTCAGCTGCGGGGGGCACGGCCCGGGGCTGCCCTCGGGGCTGTACCGCACCAGAACCGCGAAGAGGAGGATGATGAGGATTTGCAGGAGGAAGCACAGCCCCGAGAGCCGCAGCCTGGAGGCGGCTGCGTGCTCAGCCATGTCGGGGGGCAGCCGGGACAGGTGAACCCCTGCAAAGGGGGTGCATGGGGAGAGCCACGCCGGGGCTGCAAACTCCGCCTGCCAGGTGGCTGCCAGGTGTCTCCTCACCTCGAAGGGACTGCCGGGAGCGGGACAGCGCTGCCAACGCGGAAACTCGGGAAACTTGGATGCCCTGGCACACCTCCGCAGCTGGCCTTGCCGCATCAGGCGGCTGCAGGCGCTGTGCTGGGAAGCGTGCGGGGTCAGTGTCCCTCTCTGCTGGAATGAGGGGCCGGATTTGGGGTGGGAAGGAAATGCTGGGGGAGGGGATGCATGAGGTTTCTGCCTCTGCGTTGCAGAAACACGGTGGTTTTGGGGACTGGGTCAGGCAGAGGAGGTGAAGGGATGCCCAAGTGTGGGGGACTGACCTGCTGTGGAGGGGCTGGCGCAGCAAAGCTAGGCTCAAATTCCCTGCTCAGAAGGAAGAACGAGTGCTCGGGGGTTCTGGGGATGAGGTTTCCTGTGGGGTCGAGAGGGGAGAAGGAGAATTTGAGCTTTGAAGAGCAAGACCAAGGAGCAGAGTCAGAGGCTCCTGACGGAGCCCACGCCAGGAGCTGGGGGAGCTGAGCACAGGGGGTTCCTTGGCTTTTCTTTGGCTGCCTCTGCTTCTGCAGAGGTGTTTGCAGAGTGGGTGCAGATCCCAAAAAGGGAGAAGAAGAGACAGGGAGCAGAGAAGTAACGCAGCTTGTGTTTGGGAAGTGAAAGAGTCACCCAGACTCTTTCCCACAGCACGGGGCCAGACTCTGAGCTCAGAGAAGCAGGGGTGGGCTGGGGTCATGCCCTGGTGCTAACGGGATGGGGAAGGGGGTGAAACTTGCAGTCACCCTGCAAGTGTTCTGCTTCGGGCTGTGGTTTTCCGAGGGCTGGGGACTGTAGCTGGTGCCTTCACTTGGGAAAAATGTGAGAAACAGCTCGTTGGTGATAGCAGAGCTGGGAATCATCTTCCTGCAGCCAAGAAGCCCAGAGCTGCTGCTGGGGGAGAACAGGATGTGCTTCTGCAGCCGTGGGCACAGGAAGTGTGAGGGAGGGAGATGACAGACTCCCCGAGGAGCCTCGACCCTCCTGATAACCGTGGGGAGCTGCAGGGAGGAGCCTGCAGTGCTGCTGCTCCACTTTAGCCTCCCTCAGCCCCGGGAGAGCAAAGCTGTCGATGTGTTCGTGGGTCCCAGGATGAGGGAAGAGATGAATCTGACTCCTTATTTCTTAGAAGGCTGATTTATTGTATTATATTTAAAAGTGTAATAATAAAACTATACTAAACTATAGAGAGAAAGGAATACAGGCTGGGAAAGGAATAAATAATAAAAACCTGTGACTGCTCAGAGCCTCGACACAGATGGACCATGATTGGTCATCAAGTAAAAACAATTCACATGAGACCAACCAAAGATGCACCTATTGGTAAACCATCTCCACAGCCATCAGAGAGTTATTGCTTACATTTCTTTTCTGAGGCTTCTCAGCTTCTCAGGAGAAAATCCTAGCGAAAGGATTTTCATAAAATATCACAGTGACACAAAGCTACAGGCACGTTTTTTTCATTGCAATGAGCCAAAGCTCTGACCATTGTGAGCTGGAAGAAGGCTTCCAGTGAAGCCTGCTGCCATCAAAATGGATGTCCCTCCTTGAAAAGAGGCTGGGAGCAGTGGGGAGCTGTGGGGGTAGCAGTTGTGGGTTTCTCTGGGTGGATTCCTGTCTATCTTGAAGTCTAGGAAACTTTCTCCATGAATGAGGGTGAATGTGAGTGCACCCCCAGGGGTCAGGGCACCCCAGGGCAGACAGAGAAATATTCCCAGTGCCCTGGGTTTCCACAGGGAGCAGGTGGGGGACGAGGGCACCCAGATGCCTTTCTCCCAGGGGGGGCTGCTTGCTGTGCTGTGCGTGCCATGGCGAGGCCAGGGTGGTGCTGGGGACAGTCACCGCTTGTCTCGTGCTTCCTTTGAGAAGAGCTTCCTCCACCCTTGGAGATGGACCCTGGGGGAGGCAGAAGTTGTGACAGCCCAGAACACAGCACCATTGTGTGCCTGTGCTGTGCTCCTGGCCCGAGGGGATGGTGGGGAAGCCTCTCTGATGCCTTTTTGGAGGGCAGGATAAGTCCAGAGGGACTCCAGCTGTGGGGCAGCCCCTTTGCACAACCCTCCAGAGCCTCAAGGGCTGGGAACATCATCCCTCCATCAGGGACAGGGAGAGGGGAATAAAATTAACCATTGCATTGCTGTCTGTGGGCTCAGAGAGCCCCGTCCCAGTGCAGGGGGGGCTTTCCAGCCCAAGAGGCTGCTGGAGCCCGATGCAGAACCGTCGTTTTCCCTGAATTCCCAAAGCTGTGGCCTGCAGATAAAGGGATGTTTGTTATCCGGGCACACTGTGTTTTGCCGAGCAGAACAATAAAGAGAAAGACACTCACAATGGGAAATTGTGCTTCCTCCTCCCTGTGCGCTCCTCGGGGAGGTGTTGGAGGGGGGAAAAAAAAAAAGAGAAGAAAGCAGGAAGAGACGGTGACAGGGCAGGGAGCGAGGGCACGGCCGGCACCATGGGAGCGGGCACCAGGGGCCCGCGGGGCCACGGGGCTGCCAGGACAGCGCCCACCCCAGCCCGGTGACAGCGAGGGGCTGGCTGGCAGCACCTGCTCGCCACCTCCCGTGTCCCCTGTCCCCGTGTCACCTCTTCCTCGTGACGCAGGTCCGGCCTTCGCGGGACCCTTGGCCCCACCATGGGGTGTTCATGACGGAGGAGGGAAGCAGCAGGAGCTGCAGGTGGGCAGGGGGCGTTGGATGGGCACGGCGGCTCCCCGAGGGACGGTAAGAGACCGGGGGGGTGCCAGCGAGGAGGGTTGGCACAGGCTGTGGGGTCGCTGTCCTGCAAGCCATGTCACTGCACAGTAAATGTCAGAGAGCACCCCAGAGCAGGGCCATACCCTCCAGGCCCCCCAAAGCCGGGGTGTGTCCCCCTGCGTGTCCCTGACCCCTGTGCTCCCCCAGGCTCCGTCCTGCCCCCGGCTCTGAGGATGCACAGGCTGCTCCTGCTCGGCTGCCTCTGGCTCCTGGCAGCACCCCCAGTGTCCAGCATCTTCCAGCGGCCAACGGGGACCCCAGGTAGGGAGCAGGGTCTGGGGGGCAGGATGGAGCTCCTGTAGGGAGCAGGGTCTGGGGGGCAGGATGGAGCCCCTGTAGGGAGCAGGGCCTGGGGGGCAGGATGGAGCCCCTGTAGGGAGCAGGGCCTGGGGGGCAGGATGTGGAGCCCCCATAGGGAGCAGGGTCTGGGGGGCAGGATGTGGAGCCCCCTTAGGGAACAGGGCCTGGGGGGCAGGATGGAGGCCCTGCGGGGAGTAGGGTCTGGGGGGCAGGATGAAGCCCCTGTAGGGAGCAGGGTCTGGGGGGCAGGGTGTGGAGCCCCTGTAGGGAGCAGGGCCTGCAGGGAGGATGGGGCACTGCTCTTTGGAGTCAGTGCTGGAGAGGGGAGGTGATGCTGCACAGGTCCAGCCAGGGCAGGAGCTGAGCTGTGCCTCCTGAAGGTGCAGGAGAGATGAAGAGGGGCCAGGATGGATGATAGAAACCATCAGATGCTGGTGAGGGTTGGGGCTGCTTGGGGGGGTGTCAGAGTGATGTTGCTGAGGCTGTCTGGGGGGCTGCAGCCCCCCTGCACCTGCAGTACCTGCTGGAGCCCCTGCACCCCACGGTGCACACGCAGCGCGGTGCCACGGCCACCCTGCCCTGCGTGCTGCGCGCCCTGCCTCGCAACTACCGCGTCAAGTGGAGCAAGGTGGAGCCGGCCAACTACAGGGAGAACATCATCATCATCACCAACGGGCTGTTCCACAAGAACTACGGGCCGCTGAGCCCGCGGGTGCGCCTGCGGCACAGCCACCGCTACGACGCCTCGCTCACCATCACCGACGTGGCGCTGGAGGACGAGGGGCGCTACCGCTGCCAGCTGGTCAACGGGCTGGAGGATGAGAGCATCTCGCTCACACTGCACCTCGAGGGTGAGCTTGGAATCATCCCTGGGGGATGAGGGGTGCTATCTCAACCAGCTGGTCAACGGGCTGGAGGATGAGAGCATCTCGCTCACACTGCACCTCGAGGGTGAGCTTGGGGTACAGCCCCGGGGGATGAGGGGTGCTAACGCTGCCAGCTGGTCAACGGGCTGGAGGATGAGAGCATCTCGCTCACGCTGCACCTCGAGGGTGAGCTTGGAATCATCCCTGGGGGATGAGGGGTGCTATCTCAACCAGCTGGTCAACGGGCTGGAGGATGAGAGCATCTCGCTCACACTGCACCTCGAGGGTGAGCTTGGGGTACAGCCCCGGGGGATGAGGGGTGCTAACGCTGCCAGCTGGTCAACGGGCTGGAGGATGAGAGCATCTCGCTCACGCTGCACCTCGAGGGTGAGCTTTGGGTGCAGCCCTGAGGAATGAGAGGCACTACTACTGCCAGCTCATCAATGGGCTGGAGGATGAGAGCATCTCACTCACACTGCACCTCGAGGGTGAGCTTGGGGTACATCCCTGGGGAATGAGAGGCACTACTACTGCTAGCTCATCAGTGGGCTGGAGGATGAGAGCATCTCGCTCACACTGCACCTCGAGGGTGAGCTTGGGGTACAGCCCCGGGGGATGAGGGGTGCTAACGCTACCAGCTCATCAACGGGCTGGAGGATGAGGGCATCTCACTCATGGTGCACCTCGAGGGTGAGCTTGGGGTGCATTATAACAGTCTGGGGTTTTGGGGTCTCTGATCCTGTCTGCTGCAGGTGTCCGGATAGCGAAGTCTTGCTAAGCACAACCTGTCTGGGTCCCTCAGGCAGGCTCCCAGCTGCAGGCAATCTTAGCAAGCAGCTCAGCTCTTAAGTGAGATCAGCCCTTTGGTGGATTCAGCTCTTTAGTGATTTCAGCTCTTTGCTTGCTAAGTGCCTCAGCACACACAGGGATGAGAGAGGAGAAGAGTTGTGTGAGGTTCCACAGATGTGTCTTTATTGGCAGCTTCTGTGAAAGGGTCACAGTGACAGCTCTTCTGCTGAACTGGGCAGAAGTGGGTGTTTATATAGGGTATAGGGGTTTTGGGAAACAGTCCAATAGTAAGGGTCAAGGTGAAAATGGCCTATCAGAGAGATAAGGAGGGTCTGAGGTGGAAGAGGGGTCTCTTGGTCCAGTCATCATGACTGGGCATTCCTTATCTTAGATAACAGACCACCAGGGAGGCCTTGAAGGCCCAGTGGCTGCTAAAGTATATCCCTGGGAGATGTGGCAGGAGGGGAACACAGCTGGAATGGAGCGTGTGGCTCTGTGCCTCCACCCCCATTGCATCACCATCCCCTAGCCTTAAACTCAGCACTGAGTCCCCAGGGGTGTTGAGTCAAAGCCTCCTTGGGGAGAGCATTGCCCTCACCCCGTCTCTGTCCCTCCAGGCGTCGTCTTCCCTTACCAGCCCAGCAACGGGCGCTACAAATTCAACTACCACGAAGCCAAGCGAGCCTGCGAGCAGCAGGACTCCCGCCTCGCCACCTACCAGCAGCTGTACAAAGGTGAAGCATTCAAAAAACCCTTCCTTTTCAGCCCAAAACCACGCCTGTCTGGGGATGGGGAGGAGGGAAGTGCCAGGGTGTCGTTGTGTTTGCGGGTCCCAGGACAAGGGAAGAGATGAATCTGACTCCATATTTCTTAGTAGGCTGATTTATTATGTTATATTATGATATATGATATGACATAGTGCTATACTAAAAAGAATAGAGAAAGGAAAGGAAAGGAAAGGAAAGGAAAGGAAAGGAAAGGAAAGGAAAGGAAAGGAAAGGAAAGGGAAGGAAAGGGAAGGAAAGGGAAAAGGAAAAGGAAAGGAAAAACTTGTAACAGACAGGGAGTCTGACACAGCTGGACCATGACTGGTCATCAAGTAAAAACAACTCACATGAGACCAATCCAAGATGCACCTGTTGGTGAACAACCTCCAGACCGCGTTCCACAGCCATCAGACAGTTATTGTTTACATTTCTTTTCTGAGGCTCCTCAGCTTCTCAGGAGAAAATCCTGGCAAAAGATTTTTCGCAAAAATATCACGGTGACAGCAGGACTGAGCTGCCTCTCGCCCCACAGCCTGGACGGAGGGGCTGGACTGGTGCAACGCCGGCTGGATCCTGGACGGGACCGTGCACTACCCCATCATCAACGCGCGGGAGCCGTGCGGCGGCCGCCTGCTCCTGCCCGGGGTGCGCACCTACGGCGCCAGGGACAAGCAGAAGGACAGATTCGATGCTTTCTGCTTCACCTCTGCCCTTCAAGGTAGCGCTGAGCTCCCCTGTGCTTCTCACAGCGCCCCCGAGCCCTGCTGCCCGCGGGGATCTGCAGCAGGTTGTTTCTTGTGTTTGCGGGATTCCCAGACGAGTGAAGGAATGATGGATCGGACTCCATGTTCTTAGAAGGCTAATTTATTATTTTATATTATATATATATATATATATATATACATACACAGAGATATGAATCTCGGTGACGGTTGTTTGCAGGAAGGATGCTCACCTGCCGTGTCCCCCCTCCATCCCCCAGGCCAGGTCTACTTCATCCGGGGCCACCTGAACTTCAAGGAGGCGGGGCAGGCGTGTCGCAACCACGGGGCTGCCCTTGCCAAGGTGGGCCAGCTCTACTCAGCCTGGAAGTTCTCGCAGCTGGACCGCTGCGACGGGGGCTGGCTGGCGGACGGCAGCGTCCGCTACCCCATCACCACGCCCCGGCAGCGCTGCGGCGGGCTGCCCGACCCCGGCGTGCGCAGCTTCGGCTTCCCCAGCAAGGAGATGAGGACCTACGGCACCTACTGCTTCGTGGGCAAGTGAGGAAGGACACGGGTCTGGGCAGAGGGGACAGCGGTGGGAGACCAGTCCTCATCACCTGGGCAGAGAGGTGGAGGCGGGCAGGAGGGGTGGGTGGTCTCACAGCGGTTTTGGGTGGTTCGTGCATCCTCTGGTAGAGCTGGGTGTGGGGTTCCCCTGATGGAGAGGGTGCCCGTGTCCCACCCCATGAGGCTTGTGGGGTGTTTGGGACTCCCTATGGGGTATTTTGGACTCCTTGTGGGGTGTTTGGGACACCTTGTGGGGGCTTCATGGGGAAGTTAGGACACGGGGCTTTGCAGAGGGGACAGCGGTGGACCACTGGCCCTCATCACCTGGGCAGAGAGTGGGGCAGGAGGGGTGGGTGGTCTCCCAGCGGTTTCGTGCATCCTCTGGTAGAGCTGGGTGTGGGGTTCCCCTGATGGAGAGGGTGCCTGTGTCCCACCCCATGAAGCTTGTGGGGTGTTTGGGACTCCTTGTGGGGTGTTTGGGATTCTTTGTGGGGTGTTTGGGACAACTTGGGGGTGTTTTGGACTCCTTGTGGGGTGTTTGGGACACCTTGTGGGGGCTTCATGGGGAAGTGAGGAAGGACACAGGGCTGGGCAGAAGGGACAGAGGTGGGACGCCAGTCCTCATCACCTGGGCAGAGAGCTGGGGGCAGGGGAGGAGGGGTGGGTGGTCTCCCAGCGGTTTCGTGCATCCTCTGGTAGAGCTGGGTGTGGGTTCCCCTGATGGAGAGGGTGTCTGTGTCCCACCCCATGAGGCTTGTGGGGTGTTTGGGACTCCTTCTGGGATGTTTGGGATTCTTTGTGGGGTGTTTGGGACACCTTGGGGGTGTTTGGGATTCCTTCTGGGGCGTTTGGGACATCTTGTGGGGACTTCATGGGGAAGTGAGGACACGGGGCTGGGCAGAGGGGACAGCAGTGGGACATCAATCCTCATCACCTGGGCAGAGAGCTGGGGGCAGGGGAGGAGGGGTGGGTGGTCTCCCAGCAGTTTTGGGTGGTTTGTGCGTCCTCTGGTAGAGCTGGGTGTGGGTTCTTGGTGCATCCCCTGATGGAGAGGGTGCCCGTGTCCCACCCCATGAGGCTTGTGGGGTGTTTGGGACATGCGGGGTGTTTGGGATGCATTGTGGGGTGTTTGGGACTCCTCATGGGGTGTTTGGGGCATCTTGTGAGGTGTTCAGGACACCTCGTGGGGTGGGGTGTTTGGAACATGTGGGGTGTTTGGGACATCTCGTGGGGGGTATGGGATGCCTTATGGGGTGTTTGGGGCATCTTGTGGACTGTTTGGGACACATTGTGGGGTGTTTGGCACTCTTTGTGGGGTGTTTGGGACGTGTTGTGCAGTGTGTGGGACTCCTCATGGGGTGTTTGGACACCTTGTGGGGTGTTTAGGACATCTCGTGGGGTGTTTGGGACACCTTGTGGGTGTTTGGGATGCACTGGAGGAGCAGACCCGCTGCTGGACCAGGAAGGGGGGTCTAATGCAGCCCCCCGCAGCCAGCCCAGGCTGCCCATTGCCCACCCTGGTGAATCCCTGGCTCCATCCTTGCTTCCTCATGGGGTGTTTGGGATGTGTTGTGCAGTGTTTGGGACTCCTCATGGGGTGTTTGGACACCTTGTGGGGTGTTTAGGACATCTCGTGGGGTGTTTGGGACTCCTTGTGGGGCGTTTGGGACATGTGGGGTGTTTGGGACGCATTGTGGGGTGTTTGGGACTCCTCATGGGGTGTTGGTGGCATCTTGTGGGTGTTTGGGACACCTTGTGGGTGTTTGGGATGCACTGGAGGAGCAGACCCGCTGCTGGACCAGGAAGGGGGGTCTAATGCAGCCCCCCGCAGCCAGCCCAGGCTGCCCATTGCCCACCCTGGTGAATCCCTGGCTCCATCCTTGCTCCCCATATCCATGGGGGCTCTGCCTGGGGGGCTCTGCCTGGGTACAAGGGCTGGGCTTGGGCTGGGCACTAACGAGTGGCACTAATTGCGTGTTGCCTTCTCAATTAATAAAGCAACAGCAGAACTCTCTGGCAAAGACACACGGGGGGCTTGCCTGGCTCCTTCCTGGCACTCTCCAGGAGGGGAATTTGACAGGGATTTTCCATCCCCAGCGCCCTCTCCAGGGGTTATCTGTGCTCTGGCCGCTCCACTCCAGGGTTTGGTGGGTGTTGCTGCTCAGCACAGCCCAGGACAGTGATAAAAAGCTGTGGGTCACCACAGTGCAGGGGGAATAGCAGCACGGGGAGCTGCCCTGGCACCGGGGATGTGCTCTCCCGGTGCCACCTATTTGCTGGGAGCAGTGTCCCATGCCAAGCCCTGAGTGGTACCCAGCTCTGCTGGGATCTGGGGGCACTCTGGGTGGTGTCTCCATTTCTGACGCTTCTGGGGTGTCTCTGTGCCCAGCTTTGCTGGGATGAGGGGGCACTTTTGGGTGGTTTCTCCCTGTTTCCCCCTGTTTCTGTGGCTCCTGGGGATGTTTCTGGGATGTGGGGACACTTTGGGGTGTTTCCCCCCTGTTTCTGAGGTTCCTGGGGTGTGGGTGTCTCTGTGCCCAGTGCTGCTGGGATGTGAGGGCACTTTGGGTGGTGTCTCTGTTTCTGAGGCTCCTGGGGTGTCTCTGGGATGTGGGGACACTTTTGGGTGGTTTCTCCCTGTGTCTGAGGCTCCTGGGGTGTCTCTGTGCCCAGGCTCTCCACTGCTGCCACCCTCGACCCTTTGGGGCTGTGCAGCCCTGTCAGTGCCACCCCTGTGCCAAGCCCCCCCAAATAACCAGGTCACCACTCTGTGCCATCTGTTTCTTGGTTTTAATACCCACAGAAGCACAGAGAGGGGGTCTGGGCAGCACGTACCCACTCCAAGCCTGCTGCAGCAGCTTCTGCTTCCCAGGGAAGTGCAGAATCCCCCCCACACCCCTGGATGGGTGCTGAGCTGCAGCAGAGCCTGGATGTCCCCATGTCAACCCCCAGCAGGGTGGGAGAAGGTGTCTGGGGGTGATGCTGGCACCTCAGTGCCATCCCCTTCCCGTGGTGTCCCCCTGGATTTCAGCTCTGCTGTGACTCTGGGGACAAAACTCCCGTTCTGCTGCATTTTGAGGCTCCTTTCAAGGGGCTCTTTAATTTTTTAGGATTTCTTTGTACAGATATCAAACACACAAGGGGGCAGACACCCAACAGCGAGGTTTCACTCCGCACACCGAGGTCCCAGTGCCGTCCCCATCCACACCAGCGCGGGGCTTGGGGCGGTGCTGCCTGCCAGCCCAGGCGCTCCCTCACTCCTCGGGGGGCTGAGCCAGACCTGGGGGGACACGAGAAGCGCCAGGTGAAGGCAAAGCTCCACGGAGGGGTCCTGGGGGGGTCTGGGGGAGCCGGCCACTCACCAGGACGGCAGGCCAGCTGGGGTGGCTCCCATGTGCCATCCTCCCGGCAGCGGATGACGGGCGAGCGGCGCGGGGCGAGGCCGGGCCGGCAGCGATAGCGGGCGGTGGAGCCGATCTCGTAGCGCTGCTTCGCTTTGCCAAAGGCGAGGGCGTTGCTGAGGGCGGGGGGGGGCCCGCACTGCACTGCAGGGGGGGTCGGTACATTGCAGCAAACCCCCCCAGCCCCGACAGACTGAGGGTGCCGCGGGCAGGACTCGTTTCCCAGCCGTGGCGATGCCCCTCTTTGGGGTGGCACAGCTTACCCAGCCCCATCTTGCAGGTGTAGGAGAGGTGGTAGTTGCAGGGCACGTCGCTCCACTGGCCCCCATCGTGCCACACGATGACCACGCAGTTCTCCCCCGAGAGGAAGTAGCTGTCGGGCTGCCCGGGGTGCCAGTTCTCGTAGAGCTGCGGGCACAGGCGGCACGGGGTGCAAGGGGCATCCAGCACACCCCCCGCACCGGCAGCCTCCCGGCCGTGCCAGCCCCATCAGGGCCACCTCCGTGGCCCTTGGAGGGACCCCAAACCCCGGCTCCGGCTCCCCTGGGGATGCTCAGCCAGGTGAGGCCAGCGGATGCAGTTCGGGAGCCTCAAAGCCCGGCCCCGGGGCTGAAACCCGAGGATGATGAGGTGCCAGGCGGGCTGGTGCCCCGCTGTGAGGGCACACAGGGGTTGGCACACCACTTACCAAGGGGCTCCCGTCAGACCACTGGAAATCCCCCTCGATGGTGCGGTCGTTCAGGCCGATCCACTGGTACTCCCTGTACTGGTCTGGGGGACACGGGGTGGGTTGGGGACAGGGACACAGCCAGCTGCCACCTGCCAGGGGGAGCTGAGCGGCTGCTGGAGGCTGAGTTCAGGGAGATTTGGGACCTGGGGGGCAGTGGGAGGTGAGGGTGACCCTCGCCCTGCAGCGGGAAGGTGCTGGGAGGTTTGGGGACACCCGAAAGGGACATCGGGGAACCCCTTCACCCCTCACCCCCGGGGAGGCGAGACAGGGCCGGCCGGGAGAGGGCGGCAGAGCCTCGGGACCCGCCTGTCCCCTCCTGTCCCTGCCTGTCCTCGCCTGTTCCCACCTGGCTCTGCCGGTCCCCGCCTGTCCCCACCTTGCCCTGCCAGTCTCTACCTGGCCCCTCTGGTCCCCACCTTGCCCCGCCGGTCCTCATCTGGCTATGCCAGTCCCCGCCTGTCCCTGCAGGTCCCTATCTGTCCCTGCCAGTCCTCAACTGGCCCTGCAGGTCCCCGCCTGTCCCTCCTGGTCCCCACCTGTCCCCACCTGTCCCTGCAGGTCCCTACCTGACCCTGCCAGTCCTCAACTGGCCCTGCAGGTCCCCACCTGTCCCTGCAGGTCCCTACCTGACCCTGCCAGTCCTCAACTGGCCCTGCAGGTCCCCACCTGTCCCCACCTGTCCCTGCCTGTCCCTGCAGGTCCCCACCTTGCCCTGCCAATCCCCACCTGGCTCTACCAGTCCCTTTTCTGGTCCAGCCAGTCCCTGCCTGTCCCTTGGTGTCCCTGCAGCTTCCTGGGAGGTCTCTCCTGCCTCTTCCTCCTCCACCCTCGTGTTCCTTCAGACCTCTTTGCCCTCTGTCCCCTTCCCATGGCACTTGTCCCCTGCTCTGCCTCCCTCTGCCTTCCCCATCCCTCCAAGGCTGAATTCAGGCAGGTTGTGGCTTTGCCTTCAGATTTATGTGCACACACCCACCCCTCTGCTGGTCTGCCCACCCATCACTGGGATTGTTGGAAAGATTTTGTTGGAAAAGACCTGCAAGGTCATTGAGTCCAACCATCCCCCACAGCCAGGGCCACCACTGTCCCCAAGAGCCACATCCACAGCTCTGAAATCCCTTCAGCTATGGGGACTCCTCTGGGCAGTCCCTCCTCCCTCTCCATGGAGGAATTTTCCCAATATCCAACCTAACCCTCCCCCGGTGCAGCTTCTTCTGGTCCTGTTCCTTTCTCCCTGGGAGCAGAGCCCGACCCCTGTGACTCCACCCTCCTTTTAGGGAGCTGTAAAAAGTGAGAAGGTCCCTCCTGAGCCTCCTTTTCTCCAAGCTGAGCCCCCCGAGCTCCCTCAGGTGCTTCAGAGCCCCTTCCCCACTCTGTTCCCTTCTCTGGACACTCTCCAGAGTCCAACCCCCAAGTGACTGCACCCTCCTGTCCGGGAAGTGTAGAAAGTGAGAAGGTCCCTCTGAGCCTCCTTTTCTCCAGGCTGAGCCCCTCGAGCTCCCTCAGCTGCTCCTGGTGTCCCTTTCCCACTCTGTTCCCTTCTCTGGACACTCTCCAGCCCCTCAAGGGCTGAACCTCTCTGTTCCCATGGCTCTGCATGTACCATCCATGTTCTCACCTGTCCATGTGTCCATTCAGCCCTGCAGGGCTGAGCTCTGCCTTGTTTCAAACCCACAGCCCAGCACCGCAGGTCCCTGAAGGGCACAGAGGGAGGGAGGGAGGGAGGGAGGGAGGGGTGCAGCACTGTCACATACCATTGATGAAGTCCTGCTCCTCGGGGGTCAGGATGGTGGCCAGGTGCCCCCCGTAGTGCCTGCACTGGCTCTCTGCATCCTCCCAGCTCCTCCGGGTGGAGAAGTGCCTGTAGCAGGCGCCCTGGAAACTGTCCCAGCCGGGGCTGCACCTCCGCAGGGCTGAGCCCAGCAGGGGAGAGAGGAGAGGGTCAGCACGGAGCCCAGCTCACCCCAGGCTCCGATTGCCCCTCGTTTGTGTCTCAGCAGCTGAGGCAGAGCAGAGCGTGGCCAGGCTGGCCCCAGGGCACTCACGTCTCTCACAGCTGCTGCCTCCGTAGCCAGGCAGGCACAGGCAGGTGAGCTGGGCGCCGTCCTCCACGCAGGTCCCTCCGTTCAGGCAGGGGTTGGGGACACAGCCACCTGCAAGGCACAGCAGCTCCTCAGTGCCCAGCAGCGCCACAGCCTCGTGGGGATTCTCAGTTCAGTCCAAGAAAGAACAGAGATAATTTCTCCCAGGCTGAGCCTGGGAATCTTAGAGGAAAGAACTCAAGCAATTATTATCTCTCTTTCTGTAAGCATTGTTTATAGTTATGGTTCTCCACAGTGTGCTATTCATAGTCACCAACAGCGTGAGATGTTTCTGGTTTGAGACCAGTTAGGTGTTTCTAAATTTGAGCTCACCAATAATGTGAGATATTTCTAATTTGAGACCAATCACCTTAGCGAGTCACATTATAAAAGACCCGCTACTTTCATCAAACACAGCCTTCTGATCCACCTGAAGACTGGAGTCTTTCCTTCCATCCCTGACTCAACAGCTCAACAGCCTCATCCCTGCAGTGTCCCACAGCAAGCAGCCTCCTGGGGCCACCAGCTCTGGGGCAGGGGAAGGTCTCAGGTGCAGCAGGACATGCCTGGAGCAATCCCACACCGCCCTTCCACCCCTGGGTGTGACCAGCTCAGCAGCCCCAGCCCAGAGCTGGCCAGACCTGGGTTTTGGCCTCCCCTGGAGCACAGAGATGAGAGCTGGATGCTCTTATCTCCCCTTCCCTGGGCTCATTGCCACACCAGCCCCTGGCCCGCTCCCTCTGCCCAGGCCAGCTCCTGCTTTTCCCTGCAGTGTTTTGGGAGGGAAGCACGCAGACCATAAAGCTGTTGGCACATCCCAGCCACGTGTCCTTGGCCTGGCAGCAAGGTGACTGCAGGCCTGTCCCTCTGGTGTCACCTTCAGCCTGGCCAAGGCTGATAACTCAGCCAGCACTTGCCCACGAGCCCGTTACGGTCATTAGTGCACCCGGAGCACAGCGTGTGCTCCCAGCCCAGCTCAGAGCGTGATGAAGAGCTGCTGCCAGCAGACTCGAAGTCCTTGACCCACTCCAGCTTAATCATGCCCCATTTTATGGTGCTCAGCTCGTGGAGATGTGACAAGAGTGATGCTGCCACCCTCGCCCCTCTCCAGGCAGTGTCACCTCCCCACGAGGTGCTGGTGGCTCCCTCGGGCTGTGCAGCTCATGCCCGGCAGAGCAAGGCAGGGAACAGGATGAGTAATCCAGGGCCCTAATGTCACATGGCTGGCTCTTCCTGGGCACCTCTCCTTGCCAAGGCAGAGGCAGCCACTCCACGGGGTCTGGCCACCCTCCACAGAGCCTCCTTCATGCCATGGGGCTGGGCACTGCCAGGCTGGGGGGCAGGGACCCCACACGGTGCCCTCTGCTGCAGATTCCCTTGCGGGAGCGGGATGGGGCAGAGGTGGCAGGGGATTGGCAGCAGGACGGGCACCAGAGCTGGGATCACCCCGGGGGGGCAGAGTGGGGCTGGGGGGTGACACCCACCCACAGCAGCTCGTGTTCCCTCTGCTCACCCCTCTCAGCCCCCGTGGTGGGGGGCTGGGGGATGTGGTCCAGGGGTTCTGCAGTGATTTTAGGGTGCCTGGCCACTGAGAGCTGCACAGGGCAGGGTGGCCTTGGTGGGGTTCTGCACTCTGTGACCCATCAGTGTCCCCCACGTGTCCCCCTGCTCGTGCCATGCAGCGTCCAGCCCTCTCCCCTCCTCCCAGGGCAGTGCAGGGTCAGTCCTGGGGGGCCACATGGAGGGTGCAAAGCAGCTCCAGCCCTGGCAGACCCCCCAGGGGTCCCTTCCACCCCGTTCCCGGGGGCTGGCAGGGCCGGGGGCGGGGATTAGTTCGTCAGTGGGAGAGGCGCAGGGGAGCAGGCGCAAGAACGAAGGGAAGAGCTCGCCGAGATGCTTGTTCTACAAAGCTTTTAATTCCCTTTATTAGTACCACGGTTAGTCAGAGCAGGGACTGGGGCCGCCTCTTGCTTATCGGGCTTTTTCATGGAAACAGTCATTAAAACACTTCACAGAAGTAGAAGAGATTTAAGTGCATGCAGAAATCAGACCAATTTGTTTGACAAATATGTGCTTCTCCAGACCTGTAACCTTCCCTTACCCAGCTGAGGAGGAGAGAGAGAGAGAGAGAGGAGACACGGACAGACAGACAGAGGGAAGCACAGCGTGAAGGAAAGGTGTTGGCTATCTCTAGTGCCACAGAGCGGCCAGGACGGCTGCCCCGAGGGCAAGGGTGGCACGGCAGGGACCCCGGGCCGAGCAGGCGCCCGCCCCGACGCTGGCCCGCTCGGTGGGCAGGGCGGGCAGGGGCACGGCCGTGCTGGGGGCTGGCTCCCCCAGCGGGGTCCCCGGCAGCACCACCCCAGAGGTGTCAGGACGGGGAGAGCTGAGGCCATCCCTGCGGGTCCCACCTGCTTCTCCCGGAACGGCTGCAAGGAAACCCTCCACGGTGGCAACGGAGGGAGCAGGTCGCTCTTCCTCCTCCTCCTCCTCTTCCTCGGAAGCCGCAGCAGGCATCCCTCGGTCTGTGCCCGGCGGCGGCGGTGCAGCCTCCTCTCCTGCCGGGGCCGGTGCGCTGCTGCTGCCGGGCAGCTCTGCGTGCCACGGTGTCACTGCGGGGACAGTGCTCCGCTCCCCCGGGGCCGCGGGCGAGGGGATCCACACGGCTCCCGACTGCTCCTCTCCCTCCTCCTGCGGCTGCGAGGGCGCGGCAGGCAGCGGGGATGCCCCAGGGCTTTCCACCACGTCTCCGGAGAGCTCGGCGTCCTCCGCGGCAGAAAAGGGGGTGCTCGCCCCGCCGGACTTGTGCCCGCGGCGGGGGCTTCCAGCGGCTTCTCGGCTCTCTGTCGAGGTGGCAGAAGCGGCACCGGTTGGCGATGTCATTCTGTGCCCGGGTGGCCCAGGGCTGGCAGGGTGGGCCGGCCGCCCCAAGGCGTCCCGCGGACGGTCCGGGCGCTCTGCGGGGGCGGCGGGGCTGGGCGGACGAGGAAAGCCCTCGGGAGGCTCCGTGTCACCTGCTGGGGCACCGGTGGGTCCCTCTGGCTCCGTGGGCTGGCCCGGGTGTCGCCCTCCGCCCGGGCTCTCCGCCGATGCGCTGCCAGGGCCCCCGCCCGGCGCTGCTCCCTGCTCCTCCTCTGCAAAGGGCAAGCAGAAAGGCAGTGAGCGGCCGGCGCGGGGAGCCAGCCAGACCGCAGGGCACCTGCCAGCAGTGCCCATCCTGCTCGCACCGAGGCGTGCGGGGAGATGGGAGCGGCCCCGAGCCCGTGTGCCACTGTCCCGAGCCCGTGTGCCACTGTCCCCTCCGCACCGGCGCGGCTGACTGAGCTCTGGCCCGAGCGCTGAGAGCCATGCTCAGCCCCTCGCCACTGCACCTCGTGTCCCTGCAGCTGCCAGCTCCCTTCTCCAGCTCCTGGTGCTGCTGAAGCCTGCTCCAGCACAGGCCCTGCATGCTGGGACACGCAGATGTCCCTTTGGCCCTGCACAGCCCTACATCAAGACATGGTGCCCCATCCATACGGGAAGGATGGCGACAGCTGGGCTGACCCAGGCACCCTCAGGTGCCTCTGCCCTCTCCTCGTGCCTCCCTTCTGTGGCTGCTCTGTGTGCCCCAGCCCTGGCACCAGCACAGCAGCTGCTGGACATTCCAGCAAGGGACAGTCCCCCACTGTCCCCCATCCTCCTCTGCAGGGGATGGGCTCCCCGGCTCCAACGGGACACCTGCCTCGGGGCTGGCCAGGGCTGTGGGGGAAGGGGAGGCAGGGGTGGGGTGACCTGAGGACACGGAGGTAACTAGGGGGGGGTGCCGGGCCCCTGGCCCCAGGGTGTCTTCAGGGGACTGGCTCGGCTTGCCCAGGTCAGGGTCCTCAAAGAAAGGGACGGCGTAAATCGCCCCTCGCGACTCGAGCTCCACGTGCGCTCGGGGCAGCTGCAGCTCCTCCAGCTTTTCTGCCACTGTGACAATCTCCTGGAGGAGATTCTCCTCGGGCTCTTGGCCTTGGTATTTTCCTGCAGCCTCAGGGAAAGAGTTTGTCACTTCTGTGGGCAGAAAGAAAGTGGGATATTACTGCCCTGTCCTGGCTCCGCAGCACTCAGAGATGAGCTCACCCCACAGCAGGCCTGGAGCCTTGGCACCCCGGTAGGAACCCAGCTTTCCTCAGCCTCCCCTTCCCCTTCTAGGTGTGGTCAGCATGGGGAGGATCAGGCCCTGCCAGGCAGAGCCAACAGCCTCAGCAGGAGCTGTGGGGCTCAGCAGCACGTGGTGGGGCCAGATCCTAAACCCTGCATTCCCCTCCCTGTGGGGATCCTCCTCTACACCCCATCCCCACCCCGGGGAGGGCAGGCATGCATGGGGGGTTAGTGGGTTACAGGGGTTGTGGAATCACGGCACGGGTCCATCCTGCCTAACCCAGGCTTTCCCTGCTGAGAGATGGGGAAACTGAGGCCCAGAGATGCTCAGCATCCCCATGCTGTGAGCCCCCATGGCCCTGAGCAGACACACAGAGATGTGGGGTCAGGCAGGAGTGGTGGAGGACAGCTCTGCTTCCTTCTGTGCCTGTTATCCCTGCCAGCCTCTGTCCTGCCTCACCACTCACAGGCAGCACTTTGCTGCTCCACACAGGTCTCCTTCCTGCCCACCACCGCCCCAAACCAGCCTGGCAGGCTGTGCCCCACAGCCCCAGGGACCCAGGAGTGTCCCCAGGCCTGCAGCCCAGGGGGATGAACCCTCCTGGAGCCGTGCCCACGGAGCCCATGCAAAGCGACGGTGCCACGCAGGACAGCCCTGTTCTGTCACAGTAAACTGGCACCAGGGACTGAGGACATGCAGGGCCACCCTGCTCTGCCACAGCGTGTCAGCATGCACTGCTGGAGCCATGCAGAGCATCCCTGCATTATTGAGAGCTGTCAGCATGCACTGCTGGGACCCTGCAGAGCATCCCTGCATTATTGAGAGCTGTCAGCATGCACTGCTGGGACCCTGCAGAGCATCCCTGCATTATTGAGAGCATGCACAGCTGGGAGTGTTGAGTCAGCATGCACTGCTGGGACCCTCAGAGCCTCCCTGCTGTACTGAGAGGTGTCAGCATGCAGTGTCAGGATCATGCAGAGCATCGAGGTGTCAGCACGCAGCGTCAGCACCATGCAGGTTATGCCTCCCCTCTCAGGTCTATCGGCATGCAAGGCACCCCTGTCCTAGCCCAGCAGGTTGTACCAAACACCCCTGCCCTGCCCCGACAGCGCAGCACCGGCACCGAGAGCACCCAGGGATCCCAGCGCACCCCCAGCCCTGCAGCACCCCCGGGGACACGCACCCCCCCGGGGGCTTCCCGAGGCCTCCCACCCGTCCCTGCTTGGCAGCATCGCGGCCCGGGGGTGCCCCTCTTTACCTCGGAAGCAGTAGGCATCGTATCTGCTCTGGGCATCGGGGAATCCCGTCTGGTTGCGGAAGAGGAAGATGGTTTTGACGCCGGGCAGAGCCCCGCCGCAGCGCTCCCGGGGGGTGACGATGGGGTAGCGGACGCTGCCGTCGGCCAGCCAGCCGGGGCTGCAGGCGTCCAGCCCCGCGTTCCAGGCTGCGTACAGCTGCCCCGGGCTCGCCAGCTCCGCGCCCAGCGCCCGGCAGCGCTGCGCCGCCTCCTCCAGCGTGAACCTGTCCGGGGCCGTCTCCAAAAAGATCTCCCCTGAGAGGAAGGAGAAGGAAGTCAGAGATGGGGAGGGGGGCAAGGGCGGCTGGAGCCCCCTCACCTCCTCCACTCTCTGCATGAGCCCAGGAGCGGTGTGGGGATGGAGACTGCGGTGTGTGGAGGCACACCGGGGGCTGGAGAGGGGCTGCCTTCCTGACTGCTTCCTGCCTTCCTGAGTGCTTCCCTGCCTGCATTCCTACATCCCTGTCTGCTTCCCTGTCTGCATCCCTGCCTTCCTGAGTGCTTCCCTGCCTGCATTCCTGCATCCCTGTCTGCTTCCCTGTCTGCTTCCTGCCTTCCTGAGTGTTCCCTGCCTTCCTGAGTGCTTCCCTACCTGCTTCCCTGACTTCTTTCCTCCATCCCTGCCTGCTTCCCTGCCTTCCTGAGTGCTTCGCTGCTTCCTGAGTGCCTCCCTGCCTGCCTTCTTCCCTGCATCCCTGCCTGCTCCCCTGCCTGCCTCCCTGCCTGTATCCCTGCCTGCTGCTTCCTGGCTTGCCTTCTTCCTTGCTTCCCTGTCTGCATCCCCATGCACAGAAAGCCACAGTGCAGGCACGGCTGGAGCTCTCACGCCACATGGGAATGATTCCTGCCCTTGCAAACAGAGCTGAGACTTTGAAGCGCCCCTGAACGGGACTGCAGAGGAGCAGGTCCAGGCCCTGCACTGAGCAATCCACGTGTGGGACATTTCTGAGGAGACCTGCAAGCCCAGCGAGGGGTGGGTGAGGCTTCACACTCAGGAGGGCTGGGGACCACTGCCCCAGGGTACCAACCCCCCAGGTGCACCTGCCTCCCTGTCCCCCACCCCTGCCACCGGCCTGGCACCACCAACTGACCCCACAGCAGCTGCCACCATCAGTGGGGAGCCCCAAAGGAGGGACCAGCCACCCCCAGGTACACACAGCCAGGCAGGATCTGCAGCCCTGCGCCTCATGCAAAGCATGGCACATGCACAACCAAACCCCAAAGCACCCAACACAGCGTGCTGCTGGTCTGGGGCAGATCATTGTGGGCACAGCCCAGCCTGGGCACCGCCTGCTGCCAGGGACTGTGCCCCACACCCCACCAAAGGGAGCCAGGAATGCTTTAGGAAGCGGCACAGCAGGTCCCCACACCCGAGAGACAGCGCCTGCAGCTTTTTCACTTGGGTTTACAACGGGTTACGGGGCAAGTTAGTGTGGGAGCAAAAGCAGAGGAGGGCAAGAGGTGGCACCACGGGCACCTGGGAGGTCCTCAGCGTAGCAGTACACATCATACATGTCCTCCGGGTCCACCACTCCATAGTTCCTCACCCCGGGGAAGCCGTTCATGTCTCCGTAACAGGCCTCACGGGGGGTCTGGATGGGGTACCTGGGGCAGGAAAGCACAGGGGAGCTGGTGACTCGCTGGGGAAGGAGCGGGCGAGGCCCCGGGCACAACACCTGGGCAGCTGCAGTGCCCACCTGACGGTCTGGTCGGCGATCCAGCCGGCGTCGCACTGCTCGTAGCCCCCCAGGTAGGCGGCGTAGAGCTGCTCGGGGGTGGCGATGCTGGCACCGATCCTGGCACAGGCTTCCTGCGCCTCGGCAAAGGTGTAGGCGTAGCGCATGGAGCCCTCCCGGTAGTGGAACACCACCCCTGCGGGCAGACACGGCCGTGGGCAAGGGGCTTCGCAGCAGCCCCCCCAAATGCAGCCAGGGTGCAGCTGCAGCTCTCTGCACAGAGAGCAGCAGGCACAACATTCCCGGGATTTCTCAGAGAAAGCTCAGAGAAGGGAATGAAAACAATTCTTATCTCTATTTGCTGCTCCTGTTGTTTGGCACACGCGGAATGTGTTATGGGGATTGTCTACCAGAAGGGAATTGTTAATTGGACTCTGGTGATGGCTCTTTTGATTGATTGACCAATTAAGTCAAAGCTGTGTTGTGACTGTCAGAAAAGCGTCATGGGTTTTTCTTTAGTATTAGTATAGTACAGTACAATGTAGTTATAATAGCTTATAAAGCAATTATTTAATAATCTAATTGCTTAATAAAGCAATTATTTAATAAACTAATAGCATATAAAGCAATTAGTTAATAAACAATTGCTTAATAAAAAGATTGTTTAGCCTCCTGAAATCACTCGAGTCATTCCATGTTATTCCCCTGCTGGGGTTTGTCCTGCTACAATACCCAGGGGAGCATTTCCTGAGCCAGGAGAGGGCCCCGAGCTGCCCCAAATCCCACTTCTCCCCACCCTGAAGCACCTTTGACTTTGACGTGGAGGATGTCATGGCCGTCCTCGATGCCGTGCTGCACGTCGCAGCGGTAGATGCCCGAGTCGTTGGGGCGCAGCTCGGTGAGCAGCAGGGAGGCGTTGGTGTAGCGCTGGTGGAAGATGGGCAGGGAGGCGCGCAGCCGATAGTCCTCGCTCACCTTCACCCTGTCCCCGCGAGCTACCAGGATCTCCACCTCCCTGCCCTCAGAGATGAAGGTCCACTTGACCCGGGGTGTCCCCAGGACGGCGCGGCGGCCGCCCGTGCCGGCGGTGGGCTGGGGGCCAAGGTAGGTGATGAGGCAGGGGATGGTGATGTCGCCTGCCAGCACGGCCTCGAGGGCTGGGTGCCGAGGGATGGACACCTGCAGAGCCTTGGGGTCCTCTGGGTGGGAGAAGAGAGGAGCTGTGAGCAGGGTTGGTGTGAGGGGCCCCCCAGACCCCTGCTGCAGGGCACCGATGGGGCACACATGGTGCCGAGTTACCTGTGCCATCTCCAGGGCCAAACACCTCTGAGAGCACTGTGGGGACAAACAGCCAGAGCAGCAGCAGCAGCGGGAGGGCTGGGGCCATGCTCTGCCCTGCAAGGGGGAAGAAAAACCACCAGCTGTGTCCAGAATCCATAAAAACACCAAAAATCTCCCATCCCTGCAGGAGGGGAAGTGGCTGGGGAGATCCCCCAGACCCGTGGGGTGATGGATGTGGTGGAAGGGAAGGGAAGGGAAGGGAAGGGAAGGGAAGGGAAGGTGCCACGGCTCACAAGAGATAAAAGACAACATGAGCAACCAGGAGCATTGGCTGGGAGCCACTGGGTGCCATCCAGCCCCTCTGACCTTCCCCAGGAGCTGGGTCCCCTGGGGACAGCAGAGTCCAGCCTGGCCTGGACAGCACAGATGGTCCCAGCCCAAGCGCTGGCTGCAGCAGGCAGGGAGGCCATGCCAGCGCCAGGGCTGTGTGCCCGTGGTGCCACCGTGAGAAACCTCAGCGGGTGTTTGGTCAGGAAGGAGGTGCTGAGGGAGGTCAGGGAGCAGGCAGGGCCCACGGGTGTGCTCATGCTGCTGCACGCTGCAGGTGTGCACATGCGTGTGCGTGCGCTCGTGCACGTGTGCCCGGCCAGGGGTGGCTCGTGGAGGGAGCTGAGGTCAGCGAGCAGGGGGGGACAGCCCGGAGCACACAAAGCCCGGGGCAGAGGGGGAGGGAAGGAGCAGGACGGCTTCTTTGCCATTCAGCTCACGCCGGAGGCTCCCCGTGCACAGGCTGGGAAAAGCCAGGCTGCCCAAAGCGACCATTATGTCCCATGCCTCTCCCAGGCTACCTGGCACAAAGGGCTCTCACCGGTGGGCTGGGGACCTGTGCTGAAAGGGAGCCCTGTGGCCAGCACTGCCATCACCCAGCCCTCTCTGGGGAGCAGCACATGGGGTGACAGGCACATCATGGGGGGCTCTGGGTGTCCTTGCAGTCTTGCTGCTTTTGCAGCCATCCAGACAGGAGGCTGATGCTGCGAGTGTGGGGAAATGTCCCTGCCAGGTGCACTGCTCCATACCCCCTGACCCCTTTGCAGAGGCTCCTTGGGGCTCCTCAGCCTCCCGTGCCAGGGATGCATCGTGCCATTGCCTGGGAACAGAGCAGCTGAGACTCGGAGCAGATTTGTAATTTATGAGCTCTTTGCACTGTATTGATTTCAGCAGCCACAGGAGCAGCTTAGGCCATGTTCAGTCGCTGGCTGCAGGCACAGCCTGCCAGGAATCTCAGGGCCTGCTGCCCTGGTCACCTGTGTCCCTCCTCAAGCTGGGTTCCCAGAGTGTGCCCAGGGGACACTGCTCTGGGGAGAGGGTGTGAATCCAGCCCTGGACACCACACACTGTGCATGCACACCCCAGCACCAACTACCATGGATGGGCAGCCCCTGGAGCCATGGTCATACAGCCCTGGCAGCACACACTATGGATGTGCAGCCCCTGGAACCATGGATGTACAACACTGGCATCACACACCATGGACGTGCAGCCCCTGGAAAAATGGATGTACAACCCTGGTTGTACACCATGGATGTACAGCCCCTGGAGCCATGGTCATACAGCCCTGGCACCACACACCGTGGGTACACAGCCCTTGGAGCCGTGGATGTACATCCCTGGCAACATGTACATCCCTGGCAGCACACATCAGGAGTACCCAGTCCCTGGAACCATGGATGTACATCTCTGGCACCACACACCATGGATGTACAGTCTCTGGAGCCATGGATGTATGTCCCTGGCAGCACACACCGTGGATGCACAGCCTCTGGAACCATGAATGTACATCTCTGGCACCACACACCATGGTTTTTTTTTTTTTTTCCCACAAAGCACGAATAGGCAGCCCCTGGAGCCATGGTCATACAGCCCTGGCACCACACACCATGGATACACAATCCCTGGAACCACACATGTACATCCCTGGCAGCTCACATCATGGATGTATAGTCTCTGGAACCACAGATGTACATCCCTGCCACCACATACCATGGATGCAGAGCCTCTGGAACCATGGATGTACAACCTTGGCATCTCACACTGTGGATGTACAGTCCCTGGAATTATGGTCATACAACTCTGGCACCACACACCACGGACACACAGCCCCTGGAACCATGGATGTACAACCCTGGAGCCATGGATGTACATCCCTGGCAGCACACACCAGGGGCACACAGCCCTTGGAGCCATGGATGCACATTCCTGGCAGCACACACCATGGATGCACAGCCCCTGGAGCCATGGATGTACAACCCTGGAGCCATGGATGTACATCCCTGGCACCATGTACATCCTTGGCAGCACATACCAGGGGTGTACAGCCCACAGCACAGGACGCTGTGCATGCACAGCTCCTAACACCAAAGAAAAGCCCCTGGCACCACACCCCATGGGCATCGACCATCCAGTGCAGACCACAGACATCCCCTTCCCAGCAGGAGCAGCCAGAGCTGGATTGCCCAGGAGCTGGCCAGTGGTGCCAGGGCCAAGCCAGGAGCTTTCTGTGCTCCAGACAGATATTTTGAATGCAGCCCCATGGTTCTGGAGCGAGGGACAAAACCCTCCTGCGTGGCAGCCGTGGCCAGGCTCCAGCACGGGGGCTGGTGCCACCCCCTGGGCAGCCAAGCGAGGAAGGCTTTTGTCACTGGCACCTTTTCTTCCCGTCCCCAAGGCGCCGTGGTGGCGCGGACAGCAGCCCTGAAGTGCCGGGGAGGAAATCCAAGAGATAAAATTCCACAGGAATTGGGCAAGCTGGAGTGGCTGCTCTCCTCCTGCGCCCATCCCTGACTGTGTGCTGGCACTGGGAATGGGGTGTGGAAAGGGTTAAAGGCAGTTTCACCCTGCTCGTGGGTGATGGCCCCAGCTCCTGGAGTCCCGTGATGACCACAGACTATCAGACGTCAGGTTTGGGGTTTGGGGTTGGATTTTTGCACTGGGTATTTTTCCTGTTTGCCACAAATGGAAAATCTTTCAACCCACAAGTTCTGAGGGAAAAGCTGAGAGCAGGACTAGGGAAGAGAGGCCAAAAAATGTTGAATAATTATAATGGCAGCCACTCGTGAGGCTCAACTGTCCCAGAGACCTCAGAGCTCAGGGATCAGACAGACACACAGGCAGGCACGTGGCAGGGCCAGCTAACCTCCATTTCTGTGGGAAACCAGGTGGAAAATGGAGCTGAAATCTATTTTGGGACAGCATTGCTCTTCCTTTCTCCCCTGAGCTCGGCCCTGCTTTCAGAGCTGGCTCCTTGTACGTGGCACCTGCAGGATCTGGAGCTGCAGCACCTGCTCCAGGGCTCAGCACAGGAGCTGCTGAGAGTGGGTGTCCCTTTTCATCTCCGGAGGGGCTTTTCTTCTGTCCCCTCCACGTGATGGTTGCTCACGCCGCTCCCAAGGTGCCCTGCCAGCCCGCAGCGAGCCGGAGGAGGAGGGAGCGGAGCGGTGGCTTTCCAGGGATGCTCAGCTGCAGAATGAGTCAGCAGCCTCCGGCACAGCCTGGCCCCGCTCCAGCCCCGTCCCCACCAGCAAAGGGCTCCGGACCCGCCGCTGCCGCCCCGGCTGCCGCCCGGGAACGGGAGCGGAACCGGGACCGGGACGGACCCGCAGCTCCGGCCGCCGCTCGCTCGTGGCTGCGCCGTGTCCGTCCCCCCGGAGCCACAAAGCAGCGCTGCCTCCAGGATCCGTCCCCACCCCCGCGGCCAGCGGAGGGGTCTCCGGTGGGAGCGGGGCCGTGCCAGGCACATGCCAGCCCCGGGATGCGCGGGGAGCGCTCGGAGGGCTCTTGGCAGCGGAGCTGGCAGAGCTCAAAGGCCGGAAGCAGGTGGGGAGGAGGGGGGTTCCCTGCAGCTGCCAGGACCCCCAGCCCCCCGAACAGGGAGAAAGGGGCTCCTTGTTTCAGGGGGAGAGCGCGGGAAGGGTCCCTGGGGAGATTCAGCCCCGCACGGAGGGGCCGGGTGCGAGCAGAGCCCGCAGGAGCCGCCAGGGATGCACCAGCACGTGCAGCCCTGGGTAAGTGTGTCACACGCACACGTGAAAGGTTTGCACACCCACCCCCGCCTTCCCGGGCTCTGGTGGGAAACTGAGGCACGAGGTGGGGGTCCCTGATTTCAGCACTGCAGCTCAGCTGGGAGCCAGCCCCGCTGCCAAACTCGCATCTCCCCCCTCCCAGCACAACCTCACCCCATCTCCCAGTTTCCCCAGTCTAAAGCCATCCCCTGAAAAGCAGCCCTAAAATCTCCTGCTCAGCCTCTCCCTGCCATGCCTGAGCCCAGAAGCTGCAAAAGGCTCCAGGCTGGGCGCAGGGAGGTTTCTCCCACCCCACGGGTGGCCAAAAGGAAGAGCAACAGGTTGTGGGTTGGGCTGAGAGAGGAGAAGTCGGCGTGACAGGAGCAGAGGTCCCTGGCAGGGATGCTCAAGGGCAGCCCCTTCGTCCTGCCACGAAATGCTCCGGCTGCGGGAGGGGAAGAGGGCTGCAGGAAAATTCCTTCTCCCCGGGACACTCCCGGCGGGTCTGGGGTTCGCAGTGGGGCTGATCGGTTGTAAAAAGCCGTAAAAATCCTGAAACATTTTCTCCCAGCCCCTCCTGCCTCCCCCGCTGGGACACCAGCAGAGAGAGCCTGCGGGAGGACAGGGAGAAACATCCCAAATCTTGGGCTCGGCCCCAGCCCCCCCCGGGACCGCGCAGTTTTGCTCCTGAGCCCAGCCCACCCCCACGGGGAGCAGCGACACGACGGGGAAGGAGTGGGGGGAGCCGGATCCCTGTCCTGCTCCGTGCCTCAGTTTCCCTTTGCAATGCTGCCCTGACTGCAACCTCCTTGGGACAAGGACCAGAGACTCTGCAGGGCAAACAGAACACACCAGCCCCATCCGGGATCCTGGCCCCTCTCCCAAAATGAGGTTCCTGAGGGAGCAGCTGCTGAAAGTGCCCGGAAAATGCCCTTTCTGCCCAACACCTCCGATCCCCGCTGCTGGAGGGGCCGCGGGCCGGGCTGGGCTCCGGGCTGGGCTCCAGGCTGCAGCAGCCGGGCAGCACCAAAGTCCTTTATCCTCCCAACTTCGCAAGAGCCACCCCCAGCCCCCGCTGCGCCTTTAGCAAAGCTCGCAGAGTGGTGCTGCCCTCGGGGGGGTCCGTGACAAGGACAAAGCTCCCCGAGCATCCCCTGCTGCAGGGCAGGACGGTGCCCTGTACCCCCCGCGGGCAAAAACCCCAGGAAACCTCCGGGCATCGCCGGCTCAGGTCTCGTTTCGTTTTGTGCCCGTGCGGGGGTGAAAGGCGAGATCGGAATGAAAAGCGCAGATCCCGGGGACACCGCAGCGCCCGGGGCACCCCCGGCACCGGGGCACCCCCGGCACCGGGGCAGCGGCGCTCCCGCAGCTCACCTGGCTCCGTGCGTGGCCGCAGCACCGGCGGGGGCTGCCCTGGCCCGGGGCACCGGCGTGGGGCTGGGCTGCGGCTCCTCCGGGGCAGCGCGGGCAGCAGGTTGGCAGCAGGGCTGGGAAGGAGCTGCACCAGGCATAAGTGCAGGCACCGAGAAAAGAGCCTTCTGTGTGTGTGTGTCCGTGTCCTCCACTCTGCTTTTTTTTTTTTTTTTTTTTTTTTTTTTTTTCTCCCTTCCCCTTTCCCTCCTCCTTTTATATTTATTCCTTCCCCTAATTAAGAAGGAAAAAAAAAAAAAAAAGATACTACCGTGGTGTTGGCAGGCTCCTCGTCCCTCCCCGTCCCTCCCTCCTGGCAGCTGGCAAAGCCCGCACGAGAGGAGGATGCTCAGCCCGCGCACGGTGTTAACCCAATGCAGCAGAAGTGGGGGAGCAGAGGATGGGGGTGCCCCCTCCCCAGACACCGCCATGGCACGGGAATGCCCTTGGAGTGCTTATTCCGGGGGTTTGGCAGCTTCAGCTGGACGGGGAGGGGGTCGCGGGCGGGGGTCCCGGTAGCCAGCAGAGACTTTGTCATGTAAAAGCCCTTTTGCTGCGGGGCCGAGGTGGGTGGAGGCACCGCCCGAGGGCTGGAGGAGCCCAGGGGCTTTGCCAGCCCCGCAAGGGTGGTGGGAGCAGCCAGAGCCAACCTCCCCGCACAGCACTCACAGCCAAGTCTGGTCCGTGCCTCAGTTTACCCACCGGCATCTGCGTCAGGGCCAGGATAATTTATGCGTCTTTAGGCTGCAATGCCTAAAATCCTCCTTCCTGCAGGAATGCTGGGGACCTGGGCACCAGTGGGGTCTGGTGGGCAGCTGGCACACCCCATTTGCAGACTCAAGCCCCTTGGCAGAAGGGCAGCACCCAGCAGCTGGCATCAGGGATTTTTTTAAGCAGATCTCGCTGAAACTTTCCCTGGCACGGAGCATTCCCTGCCCGGGGGGGCGGCGCGGAGCCTGCCAGGGAATTGCTCGGGTGAGTTTGCAGAAAGCCACAGCTCCTGAGCAGAATTAATCATTTGTCGCCCTGGGAAATAATTGCAGGCGGCAGAGGCGGCCTCGGCAGTGCAGCAGCTCGGGGGGGGGGTGTCCAGTGGGGGATGCTCGGACACTCACACCACGGGGATGGACACACCGCGGGGATGGACACAGCATGGGGCTGGACACAGCATGGAGAACCCCATTCCTTTTATAAACAATACAGGTGTATTGTTTACAATAGAATACAATATTTATAGTACAGGTGGACCTAATTGCTCCTCCATCCCAAACCCCATCACCACTGGCTAATTAAGAAAGCACCCTTTGGTAAAATCCATCCAAATCTCCACAGCACATTCCACGTGCTCACACCACCAGGTGCAGCAAGCGAAGGCAGGAATTGTTTCTCATTCTTTTCTCTGATCTTCTCACAGCCTTTTCTCAGGCGCTGCCTGGGAAAGTTGTGTGACAGTCCTTGGGACATCCAGCTCCTGGAAGGGGCAGGAGGGAAGGGAGAGAAGCAGGCAGGAGCAGGGCACAGCCCCTGTTGGACACCCCAGAGGTTCCCCATCCCTCCCTGCAGCTCTGGAATGCTCTGGCTCAGCCCTCCCCAGCAGCCAAGGGCATGGAAAGGCATGGGGGACCCCCACAGGGACCCCCAACAACCCCAGCTCCCCCAGCCCCAGCTGTGCTCAGGCTGGAAGGGCCTCAGTGCCCAGCTGTGCTTCCTCCTCCTCCTCCCCCTCCTCCTTCAGCCCTGCTCAAAGTCACGTACCAGCCTGCGCCATGCACCCTGTGCCACGCAGCCCGTGCCAAGCACGTGCCAGCTCCCACCCTGGGACTGTGGGGCACCCTCAAACTGCCACCCCCACAAAGCTCTGCCACAAACTGCCACCCCCACAAAGCTCTGCCATGCTGAACGGCCACCTGAGCACCCCACAGGGACAAACCCCCTGTTCCCAGGGGGTCCTGACCCTGAGAACCCCCCAGTGGTGCCATCCCAGAGAGTCCTGAGCCCAAGGACCTCTCAGGGGCACAGACATCTCATACCCAAGGAGGTCTGACCCCCAGCACTCCCCAGGGGCACAGACATCCCATTCCCGAGGGTTCTGACCCCAGGCATTCCCCAGAGATCCAGACATGCCTGTCCTAAGGGATCCTGAGCTCAAACTCAAAATCCCCCAGTGACACAGACATCCCCTTCCTGGGGAGTCCTGAGCTCAAACATCCCCCAGGAACATGGACATCCATATCCTGGGGCATCCTGAGCTCAAACATCCCCATCCTGGAGCATCCTGAGCTCAAACATCCCCATCCTGGGGCATCCTGATCCCCAGCATTCCCAGGGACACTGACATCCCTGTCCTGGGGCATCCTGAGCTCAAACACCCCCCAGGGACATGGACATGCTTGTCCTGGGACATCTTGAGCTCAAACATTCCCATCCTGGGGCATCCTGATCCCCAACACCCCAGTGACACTGGCATCCCTGTCCTGGGGCATCCTGAGCTCACACATCCCTCAGGGACATGGACATCTCTGTCCTGGGGCATCCTGATCCCCAGTATCCCCCAGTGACACTGACATCCCCATCCTGGGGCATCCTAAGCTCAAACATCCCTCAGGGACATGGACATCCCTGTCCTGGGACATCTTGAGCTCAAACATCCCCCAGGAACAAGAAAATCCTCATCCTGGAGCGTCCTGAGTCCTCCCTGGGCTCAGGATTTGGACCATCCTGCTGCTGGCTGAGAGAGAGGGGCCAGGCACAATGGAGAACCCCAAAAGGCAGGAGGAGGAAGGGGGGACAAGGCCAGGGAGGGAGGAATTGCTCACTCCCAGGGCACCTCCCAGTGCAGCCATGAGCACTGGGGGTCTTTTTGCAGCAGTTTTGGGGGCTCCTGGACATCCCAGGTGGAAAGAGGAGGTAGAAAGGAGGAAAGTGAGAGCAGCCAGGCAGTGAGGAAGGCCAGCTCTGGAGCAGATGTGCTGTGGGAATTAGGAGGAGGAAGATAAAGACACGCAGCATCACCCCAGTGCCCAGGGCTCTGGAGACCCCAGATCAATTATTCAACCTCATCACTCCCTGTGCTCCTTAATGGCATTTCAATCTTGGCTGTGAGAGGCAAAGCAGAGCCGGGCCAAGGAGCCAGACAGGATGTCTGGCCGGAGATGAGCCGGAAAGATGATGCCTTTGGGGACCCCCGAGCCGGGTCATCCCCCCGCCGTGCCCCCCTCAGGCACCAGGGGAAAGCCCCGTCCCTCGCAGGGGCTGGAAGGAGCTCGGGGACGGCTCTGGGTGGCCTTTGCCAGCAGAGGGGACTGTTGCTTGTCTTTCCAGAAGCGTTTGCCTAGAGCCTGTCCCGTGGGACAGCTCGGGAGGAAACATTCCTGTCCTCCTTGCCCTGGTGAGGACATAGCGGGGACCCTCCCGTGGGAAAAATCAGCGTCTCCCGGGAGAAAACGCTGGCAAGTCTCTCTCCGAGCGACGTTTTCCTGCTCCTTTTGTTCGCAGAAACCTCCCGAGTTTGAAATTTTTCATCTCCGCCCCTCGGCAGCGCACTGCCCTTCCCCCAGATAAGTCATCTGGGGTAAATAAAGAGAGAAAATCAAAAATCCTAATCCCCAAATATCCGACCGTGACTTTTTGAAAGCTCTGACGGAAACCAAACTTGGAGCCGCCGCTTGCCAAGTTTCGGAGGCTGCCGGAGGAGCTGCTCCCGTTGGGCTCCCGGCTCTGCAGAGCCCGCCAGGGACATCTGGAAAGAGGGAAGATTGCAGCTGGACACAGCTGGACACAGCTGGATGCAGCGCCCCGGGGCGGCACCGGCTGGGACCGCTGAGCTGTGCAGAGGGATTTCCGTACGGATGGATGCAGAGACCTGCCAAGAGGTGTCCTCGGTGCAGCCATCACCTCCCCACGGCTGTGACACCCTCGGCGGGCTCCTCTGGGGCTCCTTGCCCCAGGTTTTGGAGCAGCAAGGGGCTCACAAGCCACCACCGAGGGATGCTGCAGCCAGGATGGGCATCTGCCAAGCGCCCTTGGACGTGTCCCAAGCTCCACGCCGAGCCCCACGGCAGCCCTCCAGCTCCCTGGCATGGCCCTCGGGCTTTAGGGAGGGCATTCCCAGCCGAGCCACGCCGGGACAGGATCCAAGCCCTCAAGTCACCCTCCCGAAGTGGGAAGGAGCACCTTGCTCTTCCGCCGGGCTCGGAAATCGGAGCTCAGCGTCGAGCCCACGTGGGCTGGAGCCGGCTCGGCTGTGCAAGGGTTAAATCCGGCTGCTCGTCCGGGTCTCGGGGGCCTCCCACTCGGCAGCGCAGAGTATGAATAGCTGCGCTCCCCTCTGCTCCCAGGCACTCGCTTCCCTCCCCGCCTTCCGCTGTCTCGGCGTTCTCCCCGCATCCTCCTGCCCCGGCAGCCCCCGGCAGCGCCCATGCTGAGCACCGAGAGTTTCGCGGGGGCGAGAGCCCTGGGAGAGGAATCGCTGCAGATGTGGGACCTCAACAAGCGGCTGGAGGCGTACCTGGCCCGCGTGAAGTTCCTGGAGGAGGAGAACGAGGTGCTACGAGCCGAAATCCAGAGCACCAAGAGCAGCCCGGCCGGGGACTCGTGGCGGGCGAAGTACGAGGAGGAGCTGCGAGCCCTGCGGGATGCGCTGGATCTCGCCTTCAGGGAGAAGTGTACGGCCGAGCTGGCCAGGGATAACCTCTACGAGGAGGTCCAGCAGGTGAGAAGCAGGTGCCAGAAGGAGCAGGCAGCCCGAGAAGAAGCTAAGAAGCAGCTGTCCTTGAGCAGGAAGGAGCTGGAGGAGGAGAGGAGAGCGCAGATCTGGCTGAAGGAGAGGGCTGTGCAGCTGGAGAAGGAGGTGGAAGCCTTGCTGGAGGTGCACGAGGAGGAGAAAGCAGGGCTGGACCAGGAGATCGCCAGTTTCTCCCACAGCCTGGAGAGTTTCCGCTGTGCCCCGGTGGCTTTCCAGCCGGTGGAGGTGGAGGATTACTCCAAGAGACTCTCGGAGATCTGGAAAGGGGCGGTGGAGACCTACAAGGCAGAGGTGGCGCAGCTGGAGGGTTCCCTGTGCCAGGCCAAGGAGAACCTGTGGAAGGCGGTGGAGGACAACCAGCAGAGCCAGCTGCAGCTGCAGCACCTGGAGAAGGAGCTGGCGGGGCTCAAAGCACGCAAGGAGATGCTGGAGGAAAGCCTGGCCCGGCAGTGGCAGGAGCAGCGCAGGGAGGCAGAAAAGTTCCAGGCGAGTGAAAATCACCGGGGAGGGGACAGCAGAGGGATGTGGGTGTCTGGGGGGGCACCCAGGGCGCGTCCCCGAGCAAAGGGATGCGAGAGGTGGATGAGGGGAGGCAAACAGAGGGAAAAAAAACCCAGGGAAGGGATGGAGATGGCCCTGGATGAGCTGGGGAGGGCAGGAGGAAGAGCAAAGTGGCTTGGGGACATCTCTGTCCCCGGCACAACAGAGACTCATGGCCACCAAACTGCAGGGGAGCGGCAGAGGACTCCGGGTCCTCCCCCAGCACCCTGCCGGGCTCCGGGGTGGGGACCCCGGGATCTCCGCAGCCCCGCCGCCGCCCCTGGTGCGGGCAGGACAAATTCCCATCGATCCCGCTGCAGCTGCGACCCGACAGCTGCAAAAGCGATTCAGCCGAGGGAGGTGGAGGCGGAGTGGGCTGGAAACACCGGGAGCGGCGTGAACTCTGCCCGGGGAAGGGTCTGCCTTTGTTCCAGCTCCTGGGAGCAGCGCTGGCTCTCCCGGGGCAGAGGATGCCGCCGCCTCTGCTGTTCCCCTGAAAGTTGTTTCTTTCCCAAGCTGGCTGTGAATCACCGCGGCCTTTCCTCCCTCTTCCCGTCCCCTTTCAGCTCTGCTCACCCTGACCCATCCTCTGCCCCCCGTGCTAAAATGAGCACCCAGACTCCTGAGCATCCTGCGGGGATGAGCCGAGCCACCTACCCGGCCAGGTCCGCGGGGACCGGGGGGTCTCAGGCGGGGCCGGGGGCGACCCTGACCCTCCCCGTGCTGCCCGCAGCTGGCGCTGGAGGCCCTGGAGCAGGAGCAGCAGAGCCTGCGGGTGCAGATCGCCCGGGTGCTGGAGGACAGGCAGCAGCTCATGCACCTCAAGATGTCCCTCAGCCTGGAGGTGGCAACCTACAGGTGAGGTGTGGGTGGGCACGGAGCCGGGCCTGGCACCGCGGCGGGCACAGGGGGGTGTTGGCACTCTAGGGGTAGCCCTGTGCCCCTTGCGCGGCCCTTCCAGATGGCCCCGCACAAAGGCGGCCTGCCAGGGACAGGGGGGACAATTAGCATGAGAATGGGGCTGTCCCAGCCCGGGCGAGGGGCCTCCCCGGCAGAGTATGATGTCACCCTGCGGGGACACTAAGCCCGGCCACGGGGGGATGGGAGGGGGCGCAGGAGCGAGGGGGGCTCCTTCGGTGTGCTCCGAGCCGTGCCAGAGCGGTACAACCACCCGTGCCTCAGTTTACCCGTCCTGACGCCCTGTATCCAGAGCGGCACAAGTACCCGTGCCTCAGTTTACCTGCCCTGATGCCATGTCCAGAGCAGCACGAGCAGCCGTGCCTCAGTTTACCTGCCCTGGGTTGCACAGGGAGCATCCAGCACCCTGCAGCACCCATCGAGCTCCTCTCTTCCTCCTCCTCCTTCCTCCAGGACGCTGCTGGAAGCAGAGAGCACCCGCCTGCAGATGCCCGCAGGGGAATTCAGGTTGGCCAACGGGGTGCGAGGTAAGGGACCCCCAATACCACCCCTGGGAGGGATCGGAGGGGGTTAAATGTGCTTAAATGTGGATTTACACACATTTTCCTGGGGGGGTGTAGATGTGTTTAAATGAGGATTTAAACACATTTCCCCGCATTTTCCTGGCGGGGGTTAAATGGGTTTAAATGTGGATTTAGACACTTTTCCCTGCATTTTCCCGGCAGCGATAGGAAGGTGTGAACAGCGGCCGGGGGCTCTTGGCACAGGGCTCACAGCCCGGATAAGGCTTATCTGCTCCTTCACAAGCCTTATCTGCTCCTTTGCCTCGTTTTTAATTCCCTGCCTTTCATGGGAAGGGCAGGAGCGGATCTGCCCGGCAGGACAGGACTGAGGGCTGTGCTAACCAGCTGAGCATTTCCTTTTTCCTCAAAACAAAACAAAAAACAAGGAAAGCTTGTCACCTGCACACTTTCCCCAGCAGCAGGAGCCGGCTGTGGCTGCAGCTGGGCACAGCATTGTCCCGGCCTGATGCTGAATCCCCCGGGGCCAGCAGCATCCGCTGCACTCAGGAGGGAGGAATTTCCCACTTTCCAAGAAGGAGCTGTTTAAAAATAGGAGAAGGGGCAGGGGAGGGCTGGGAGCGGCTCCTCGCCTGCTCACGGCTCCCCCTCGCTCTTTGCAGATGTCAAACTGGAGGTGAGCAGCAGCAAAGCGGTGGCAGCGAGCCCCGAGGCCAGGCGGCTGCTGCCCCGAGAGCCCCGCGCCAGCCCCTTGCCCCGGGCAGAGCTCAAAAAACCCCAAAGCGACACCCTGACCCCCCAAAGCGCCAGGGAGCTCCAGAAAATCACCTCAGCTCTCCATGGAAGTGCTACCGGTAGGGCTGGGGGGCTGGGAGCCCCCGCACCCAGCCCCCCCCAGGCGGGCAGAGCCGACCCTCCGCTCTCCCCGGAGCCCCCCAGCCCCTCCCCGCCGCAGCGGGAGAGCTCTGGGGGAGACGGTCCCGCCTGGCCGGGAGGAGATGAGGCAGCGATGAGCCTCGGGATGGAGTGTCCCCTGTCCAGAGCCTCGGGGGACATTGGCAGTGCCAGCCTGCAGCCCCTGGGAGCCGCCCACAGGCTGCAGTACCCGGCCCAGCTGGTCAGCGAGGTGCTGGAGGATGCCCTCAAGGCGATGGAAGGCGATGCTCAGCTCAAAGAGGAGCCCACACCCAGCTCCACGTGGGATATCTGTGCCCCCAGCCCCGTTTTCCCCCCAGAGGTTTGTGGAGAGGCTGTGCCAGAGCGGCCTGGGGAGCAGCGAGAGCCCTCGGAGGGCTCTGAGGATGGAGAGAGCTCCGAGGCAGAGCAGAGGGCTGGGGAGGGGATGCTCCAGGGGCTGGCTGGGGAGAGCAGCGTCCTGCAGGACACAGCCCCTTCCCCACAGGGCACGGCTGCTCCCCTGAGCGCCTCGGGGAGCCGGGAAGAGCTGGGAGCGTGGGAGGAGGAGGAGGAAGAGGAGGAGGTACCTGCTGTGCTGAGCCCGAGGCATCCAGAAATGGAGGCCCAGGAGGGGGACAAGGATCTCTCTGGACAGACAGAGAGCAGCTGGGAAAAGCCAGAGGAGGAGAGGGCAGAGAGCCCGAGCACAGAGCCATCACACCCCTCAGAGGATGAGGAGGAGGAGGAGAAGGGGGATTTCCAGGAAGAAGGAACAGGTGTGCAAGAAGAGGAGTGCCCACACAGAGAAGTGGAAGCTGCTCGTGGTGTCCTTGTGGAAAACCACCTGGTGTTGCCCACAAAAGGTCACCTGGGAGAGGACTTTGCTGATGCAGAGCAGGAAAGGTCTGAGCAGCAGGAAATGCCCGTGTGTGAGATGGATCTGGCTGCAGAGAAGGGAAGGGAACAGGAGCTGTGTCCAGAACAGGAGCCCTCGAGTGCCCATGAGGCCATCCCTGCAGAGGAGGCTCCCACAGGAGCTGAAGAAGACACTGTGGGACAGGAGGCCACAGGCAGAGTGGAAGATGCTGAGGGAGAAAAGGGAGAGGCCAGCAGGGAGGTGCTGGGAGGAGAGGATCGTGGGGTGGGACAGGATCCCATGGCAGGAGAGCACCTCACAGCAGGAGAAGACCATGGGGCAGGAGAAGACCATGGGGCAGGAGAAGACCATGGGGTAGGAGAAGATCATGAGACAGGAGAAGACCATGGGGCAGGAGAAGATCATGGGGTAGGAGAAGATCATGAGACAGGAGAAGACCATGGGGCAGGAGAAGACCATGGGGCAGGAGAAGGTTCCCAGGTAGGAGAGGACCCTGGGTCAGGAGAGGCTGTGGCACCAGGTGACAGCCTGGAGGGGGACAGCAGAGCCCCAGAGGAGCCTGAGGACCTGCAGGAAAGTGAGGGGGAGGAACAGGAGGAGCTGGAGCCAGGAGAGGAGCCCTGGGGACAGGAGGGTGGTGGCAGTGGCCAAGAGCCCTGTCCAGAAGACTGGGAGGTGACAGCAGGGGACACTGAGGGAGTGTTGGGGCCAGAAGAGGCAGCCTGGGCAGATGACACCCCGAGCAGTGCAGCAAGGCTGGAAAGCGAGGAGAGAGGTGGCACACAGCCAGCAGAGCTGGAGGAGGCCCAGGAAGATGATGAAGAAGATGCCAAGAGCCAGGAGATGAGCCAGCAGCAGGCACTGCCAGAGGCTGAGCCAGCAGCTGAGCGGGCACGGCAGGAGCAGCTGGGCAGCGTGGCAGAGCCTGAGGCAGCCCCTCCAGGTGCCCCTGGGCAAGGGGACAGCCAGGAGCTGGAGGAGGATCCAGAGGAGCCACGGGAGGTGCAGGATGAGGACACTGCTGAGGGGCTCAGCCTGGAGCTGGGGCAGCTGGAGAGCTCAGAGCTGGCACTGGGGCAGGTGCCAGGTGACAGCAGCGAGTGGGCATTGCAGGAGACCCCCAAAAACCCAGAGCCCACAGAGCTGGAGAGCTCAGAGCTGGTGGCACTGGAGCATGTGCCAGGTGACAGGGACAAGTGGGCACTGGAGGAGACCCCCAGAGACCCAGAGCCCACAGAGCTGGAGAGCTCAGAACTGGCACTGGGGCAGGCGCCAGGTGACAGCAGTGAGTGGGCATTGGAGGAGACCCCCAAAAACCCAGAGCCCACAGAGGTGGGGGAGCTGGAGAGCTCAGAGCTGGCACTGGGGCAGGTGCCAGGTGACAGCAGTGAGTGGGCACTGGAGGAGACCCCCAAAAACCCAGAGCTGGGGGAGCTGGAGAGCTCAGAGCTGGCATTGGAGCATGTGCCAGTTGACAGGGATGAGTGGGCATTGGAGGAGACCCCCAAAAACCCAGAGCCCACAGAGGTGGGGGAGCTGGAGAGCTCAGAGCTGGCACTGGGGCAGGTGCCAGGTGACAGCAGCGAGTGGGCATTGGAGGAAACCCCCAAAAATCCCGAGGCCACAGAGCTGGAGGGCTCAGAGCTGGCACTGGAGCAGGTGCCAAGTGACAGCAGTGAGTGGGCATTGGAGGACACCCCCGGAGACCCAGAGCCCACGGTGGGCACCGGCAGGAGGGTGGAGCTGGAGGACACACTGCCAGACAGCACACCCCTGCACCTCTACCAAGGAGGGACCCCAAACCCTCCAGAGAGCGAGGAGACCACGGAGCCAGCGCCTGGGTGTGACACAGCCCACGAGGGTGGAGGGTGGCAGGAAGGGAGGGACAAGCCACCAACCCCCAGCGTGCCAGAGAGCCCTGAAGAAGAGGCAGGGGCAGAGGGGGCTGAGGAGGAGGAAGGAGCAGAGGGGGCTGAGGAGGAGGAAGGTTATTTCATGGTCTCTGCTCCCAACCAAGAGGTGTCCAGCTCAGAGGAAGCTGAGATCCCTGAGGACTTTGAAGAAATTAAAGTTGACGCAACTGAAGACAGCCAAGATGATCTGGGGGCTCCTGGAGAAGCATCTCCAGTGCCAGAGGGCAAAGAGCACCTCGAGGTGCTTGCTGCAGAAGCAGATGAGGATATGGAGATGCCCACTGAAGAACCTGAGGTGCCAAAGGATGAGGAGAGCACTGCTGAGCTGGAGGAAGGCCCAGGAGAAGATCCCAGCTGTCTCGGGGTGATGGGACCATCAGCTGCAGGTTCTGGTGAGGAAGGCCCAGGAGAAGATCCCAGCTGTCTCAGGGTGGTGGGACCATCATCAGGAGGTTCTGATGAGGAAGGCCCAGAAGATCCCAGCTGTCCCGGGGTGGTGGGACCATCATCAGGAGGTTCTGGTGAGGAAGGCCCAGAAGATCCCAGCTGTCCCGGGGTGGTGGGACCATCAGCTGCAGGTTCTGATGGGCCAGCCCAGGGTGCCACGGGCACTGCAGCGTGGCAGGGAGCAGAGCACTCAGAAGATCTGGCTGCTGAACCAGATGAGGAGCTCCCCAACACAACCGAGCTGGAGAGGGGAGCCAGTGGAGCAAGAACCCTCCCAGGCTGCACTCTGGGGTTGGCAGGGCAGGAGGAGGAAGATGAGGATGAGCCCAGCACAGCTCTCCATGACACGGCCAAGGCCACAGCAGAGCTCCAGGCCCAGGCAGTGCCTGGTGAGGCAGAGCAGCCTCTGCAAGAGCAGCCACCCACGGAGGAGGAGGAGGCACTGGGCAGTGAGAGCCTTCCTCCACCCAGGAATGAACAGCCCTCCGGGGCCAGCCCACCTCAGCTGGGCTCTGCACCGGGGCAGGGAGGTTCTCCAGAGGTGATTCCAGCCATCCCTGACACTGCTGCTCTCCCTGCAGAGGTGTCAGTGGATGTCATGAAAGACTCGGGGATTTTGGAAATAGTTGAGCAGGCCTTGGAGTTCAACCAGGAGCTGATGGGGGGGAGGCTGGCAGAGGGTGGGCAGGGTCCTGGCAGGGCCGAGCTCTCCCGGGATGCAGGGGAAGACTCCTCCCTTGCCTCATCCAGCGAGGAGGAGCCAACGGTGCAGGAGGTACCAGAGATGGAGATGGAGGGAGTGCTCCGAGCTGAGAACGGGCTGCACAGGGAGGCCAGCCTGGAAGAGCTGGCTGAATTCACCGAGGAGATGCTGAACGGCACCAGCAGCACAGCCCTGGCACAGGAGCTGCCCACAGAGCCCTCGGGGGTGATGCCAGCACAGACCCCCACCCCTGGAGATGGCACCGCCACCAAACTGGGGGATGGCACCCTGAGGGGCAAGCAGCTCAGCCCCGTGCCCCCTGCTCTGGGGGAGGATGTGCTGTGCCTCACAGCCCAGCAGGCAGCAGCCTGTGGGCTGAGGGCTGAGCAGGAGCCCTGGTCCTCAGGGGACGAGTGACAGCAGCCAGGGGCAGCCTTCTGATGGTCCCTTCCTGCCAAAACCCTGTATCCCCCTCGTCCCACCCCCTCCTAATCCTTCCCCATCTCCCTGTGGTTTTTAACACGTTTGTGTGGATTTTTTGCACCCCTTTTCAGAGTGAAGAACCACCAAGTTCCGTTGCACCCCCACAGCCCACCCAAATTCTCATGCTTGCTCTGGGACCCCTGTTCATTGTGAGCTTCCTCTTGGGTGGGTGTATTTAATTTAAACTCTGTGTTTCCCCATTCCCTGCAATCTTCCCCCTCCAACTCCTCCAGTATTTGCCCCAGGATGTCCAGCTGGAGGTTAGGGACCCTCCCAAAGTGCACCCTGGCACTCAGCATTTTGGGGTTCATCACCCCAGGGTCCCCAGCCCCAGCCTGGGGTCTGAGCCACCCTGGATGTACTCTCTGCCTCATTAATTTAATAAAGCCTCATCCACCCACTCAGGCCTGGCTCTCCTCACTCTGGGGGCAGGGGCAGCATGGCTGGGGCAGGGGAGGGCACTGCCTGGGGGGGTTGCACTTTCAGGCTGCTTTTGGCTGTGGAAGGTGCCCTCGTGGCCACCCAGCAGCAGGGGCTGGGGGCAGGATGGGTGGGATGGTGCTGCCCCAGCTCTGAGACAATGCACAGCCCTGGAGCTACCTGGCCACAATCTCTGGGGTGGGGCTGGCCCCAGGGCCAGGCAGCCCCCAGGAGGGTGTTCCCCCATTCCCAGTGCAATGCCCCCAGAGACGTTCCCCCATTCCCAGGGTGATGAAGCCCCCAGGAGGGTATTCCTCCACTCCCAGGACGATGCAGCCCCGAGGTTGAAGCAGACCCCAGGGCAATGCCCCCAGGAGATGCTCCTCCATTCCCAGGGTGATGCCCCTAGGGGAGTGTCCTCCCATTCCCAGGATGATGCAGCCCCCAGATGTTCCCCCATTCCAGGGCAATGCCCCCAGGAGATGTTCCTCCATTCCCAGAGTGATGAAGCCCCCTAGGGAAGTGCCCCCAGGAAGGGGTGTCCCCATTCCCAGGGCCATGCAGCCCCCAGGGTGATGCAGCCCCCCAGGGCAATGCCCCAGGAGTTGTTCCCCCATTCCAGGGCAATGCCCCGAGGAGGATTCTCCCCATTCCCAGGTCGATGCAGCCCCCTGGGGTTACAGACCCCATCCCTGCGAGATGCTCCCCCACTCCCAGACCGATGCCACCCCCCGAGGTGATGCTGCCCCATCCCCGGGCTCCACAGACGCCATTCAAAGCTCGCTGCTGGCCAGGAGCTCCGCCAGCTTCCTCCTGGTTTGCCGGCAGGAGCGGCCGGGATGCCAGCCCGTGCCACCCGGTGCCAGCAGCCAGCAGCCGCAGCCGCCGTCCCTGCCCGGTGTGGGCAGGATGCCCGCGGACCCACCCGCACATCCCGGCCCCGGGAGCCGCCGGGACCCCGTGGGGACCCCCTGAGCAGAAGGGCGGTGGGTTCCAGGGGGCTGGGAGGGGCTCAATCGCCCCGTTGTGCAGCCGGGCGTGGGGAGAGCCGCATAAATCAGCGCGCAGCTGAAGAACGGGCTCCTTTATGCCGGGCAAAGGGCTGAGTCACAGCGGGACAGGGCACACGCTGACTCGGGTGGCCCTGGCATCGCTGGCACCCGCCAGCCTCGCCCCCACGGGTGTGCTCAGCATCGCTGCCCGCCTGGCTCGTCCCCGTGCCAGATTTAGCTCGGTGGTTCCCGTGCCCGGGGATGCTCAGAGCCAGAACCGATAAGAACCCGACATTGAGCTGCCTTCCTCCCAAAACCCCCGGCCCCCTCCCCTGCCCGAAGGCGACAGATTCCTTTTAAGGTGAAACTCCAACCGATCCAAACACCGTAAGAAAAAAAAAAAAAAAAAATCCCCTTCTGATGGGTTTAATCAGGCGCCGAGCCTGCGTTCAATCACACCTCGGCTGCCTGGGCAGCATCAGCCCGGCAGCAGCGCCAGCAGCGCCCCCGGAGCCCCCCGAGCCCCCCGAGGGGTCCCCAAAGCTGGGGGGGTCTCCCCTCTCGGGGAGAGGGGTGGAGGATGCTGAGGAGGAGAAGGAGATGGCTCGGGCCAGGCTGGGCCGTGCGGGGGGTGACAGTGACATTCCTCCCGAAATGAATGCGCATTCCAACCGCTGCTGACAGCGCGATGAGGGGGGACAGATGGCGGGGGAGGGGGAGCCCCTTCCTCCCACCAGGAGGAGGAGGAGGAGGAGGAGGGGAGGAAGTGCCAAATCTCGGAGTCAGCCGAGGGGGATGGGGGAAATTGCCGGGGCCTTTGGGATCCGCGGGGGCTGCAGGCAGGGGAGAAACTCCGGGTGTGGGGAGGGCCCGAGGGGCTGTGCGGGATGGAACCAGCAGCAAGTGTGTCCCCAACAGGAGAGAGTGTCCCCAACAGGACCAAATGTGTCCCCAACAGGACTGAGAGTGTCCCCAAAGGGATTGAGTGTGTCCCAACAAGATCAAAGGTGTCATTGGTGGGACACAGTGTGTCCCCAACAAGACACAGTGTGTCCCCAAAGGGATTGAATGTGGCCCAGCAGGAGCAAGGGTGTCATGGTGGGATCAAATGTGTCCCCAACAGGACAGAGTGTGTCCCCAAAGGAGCTGAGTGTGTCCCTGGTGTGACCCAGCCTGTTCCCAGTGAGATGGAGGATGTCCCTCATGGGATGCAGTGTTTCCTCAGTGGGATCAGGAGTGTTCCCAGTGGGACCTGGGCTGTCCCTCGGCACTGTGTGACCACAGCAGGACCAAACATGACCCTGGGGAGACCAAACATGACCCTGGGGGGACCAAACATGACCCTGGGGAGACCAAACATGACCCTGGGGAGACCAAACGTGACCCTGGGGAGACCAAACATGACCCTGGGGGGACCAAACGTGACCCTGGGGGGGACACAGGTGCCTGGGGCACCCCATGGCCACTCTGGCTGGGTCTGCAGCTCCCCTGACCCCAAATTCCATCAGACCCCAGCAGGGTGTTCCGGGGGCTGTGCCACCCCCAGCCGGGTGCACACAGGCAGATTTTGGGGACCACGCTGATTCTGGGGGGGCTGGAAAGAGCAATGCAAGTTCCCTGCACTCAAACCCTGCTCACACCCGGGCAGGAGCACCAGGGGGGCACGGGAGTGTGCAAAGGGGGGTCCTGGGGGTACAGCTCGGGGGGAGCTGCCAATTGTTGCCTGGGCTGGAGCTTTGCGAGCCCCCCGCAGCCCCCCACCCCCCGCAGCCTGGCCCCTCGCCAGCCAGGGAAGGGTTTTGTTTCCTCCCAGCCTGGGCAGGGGATTTTCAATGGAGGCCGCACAAAAAGCTCCCTGTGGGGTGAGCCCGCGCCCGGCAGGGAAGGGGGAGAGGCGGGATGACCTCAGCGATGACTTCATTCCTCTCTCAGCTCCCAAAATTCATGGGAACCTTATAAGGAAAGGACTAAAAATACAGCGGGAGGGGCGAGGGCAGCCCCCGCTCCCCCTCCCCAAAACGAGCCCTTGGGGATGCAGAGAGCCGGGGCTGCTGCCGAGGGGGATGCACGGTGGGGACAATCCAAAGGGACCCCAAAATCCCCACGGGAGAGCAGAGCAGGGCTGTGGGCGACCCCCAGGGTGGCATCACAGTCCCTTCATGTGGCACCTCCAGAGTGGGGAGGCTGCTCGGGCACCCCCTGGCCCGCCCTTCACCCGGGTCAGAGCCGGGAATAGCTCCCGACGGATAAAATGAGCCCTGCGCCGGCTCGGGGGCTGCCCAGCTGCCGGGCCGTGACCCCGCCGAGCGGCCGTGCCCCGGCTCGGCGGCAGCTGCTGCCAGCCCGGGGCGCTGCGGATGCCAAGCCCGGGGCAACCCCGCGGGGAATGCGCGCCTGGGGCCGTCCGTCAGCAGGGGAGGGGGGAAACCTGGGACAAGACACCCCAATTCCTGCGTGATGCACCCCCGGAGTGATGCACCCCAATCCCTGGGACAGTGCACCCCGGCTGACAATTTCCCATCCTTGGGCTGATGATTTCCCATCCTCGGGGAGATGATTTCCCGTTCCTGGGGTGACAATTTCCCATTTCTGGGCTGATGATTTCCCATCCCTGGGGTGACAATTTCGCATCCCTGTGGTGACAATTTCCCATCCCTGTGGTGATGATTTCCCATCCTTGGGGAGATGATTTCCCATTCCTGGGCTGATAATTTCCCATCCCTGGGCTGATGATTTCCCGTTCCTGAGGTGATGATTCCCCTTAGACCAATGCTGCCCCATCCATGGGGAGATGATTTCCCATTCCTGGGGTGACAATTTCCCATTCCTGGGGTGACAATTTCCCATTTCTGGGCTGACAATTTCCCATCCCTGGGGAGATGATTTCCCATCCCTGGGGTGACCCCCCCTCATCCCTGCTGGCCCCAGCCCAGCCCTGAGCCCACCCCTGCACCGTGACCTCCCCCAGAATGGGGGTGCAGGGAACACCACCCCCCCAGACACCCCAAGAGCCCCGGGCCTGCCCTGGCACAGCAATGCCAGCCCGGGAGGTGGCACAGGGACACGGAGGGTGGCACAGGGACATGGGGTGTGGCACAGGGGGACACAGGGGGTGGCACAGGGACGCAGGGGACAGCACAGGGACAGGGTGTGGCACATGGGTGTAGGTATGGCACAGGGACACGGGGGTTGCACACGGGGTGTGGCACAGGGACAGGGGGGTGGCACAGGGACACGGGGTGTGGCACAGGAGCACACAGGGGGTGGCACAGGGACATGGGGTGTGGCACATGGGCATGGCTGTGGCACAGGGACACGGGGCATGGCACAGGAGCACACAGGGGGTGGCACAGGGGCACGGGGTGTGGCACAGGAGTACACGGGCTGTGGCACAGGGGCATGGGGTATGGCACATGGGCATGGCTGTGGCACAGGGACACGGGGCGTGGCACAGGAACACACAGGGTATGGCACAGGGACACGGGGGTTGCACACGGGATGTGGCACAGGGACAGGGGTGTGGCACAGGGACAGGGGGGTGGCACAGGGACATGGGGTGTGGCACAGGGACACGGGGGTTGCACACGGGCTGTGGCACAGGGACAGGGGGGTGGCACAGGGACAGGGGGGTGGCACAGGGGCACGGGGTGTGGCACAGGAACACACAGGGTGTGGCACACGAGCACGGGGTGTGGCACAGGAGCACACGGGATTGGCACACGGGCACAGGGTGTGGCACAAGGGCATGGGGTGTGGCACATGGGTGTGGCACAGGGACACAGAATGTGGGACACAGACACGGGGTGTGGCACACGGGCATGGGCTGTGGCACATGGGCACACGGGAAAGGGAAAAATCCCAGTGCCTCAGTTTCCCTTCTCATCCAGCCTGTCAAGGCCCAGCCACAGCCAGGATGGGGCCGAGCTGAGGATGGGGAGAGGAGAAGCCCCCCCAGAGCCCCCTCCCCGATTTTGGGACACCCCCCCACGCTGGGGGACACCAGGGGTGGGCACAGCGAGCGTGGAGGTGCCTGAGCACAGCTGGAGCCAGCACGGGTGGCACTGGGACAACGGGGCTGTGCCACCCCCAGGGCTGGCCCTGCCCCCTGTGCCAAAGCTCAGCCCCCAGGAGCCGCTCCCGGTGCCCAGGGGGGGGCTGGGGCACGGTGCCAGGCCAGGGGCACGTGGAGGGGACAGGATGTGACACAGCCAGCCCTGAGTCACCGCTGGTCACCACAGCCAGCTGGGAAGGGACAGGAGGGGACAGGAAGGGGTGGCACAGGGACACGGGGGTTGCACACGGGTTGTGGCACAGGAGCACACAGGGGGTGGCACAGGGACAGGGGGGTGGCACAGGGACATGGGGTGTGGCACAGGGACACGGGGGTTGCACACGGGTTGTGGCACAGGAGCACACAGGGGGTGGCACAGGGACAGGGGCGTGGCACAGGGACATGGGGTGTGGCACAGGAGCACACAGGGTGTGGCACACGAGCACGGGGTATGGCACATGGGCATGGCTGTGGCACAGGGACACGGGGCATGGCACAGGAACACACAGGGTGTGGCACATGAGCACGGGGTGTGGCACAGGAGCACACGGGATTGGCACACGGGCACAGGGTGTGGCACAAGGGCATGGGGTGTGGCACATGGGTGTGGCACAGGGACACAGAATGTGGGACACAGACACGGGGTGTGGCACACGGGCATGGGCTGTGGCACATGGGCACACGGGAAAGGGAAAAATCCCAGTGCCTCAGTTTCCCTTCTCATCCAGCCTGTCAAGGCCCAGCCACAGCCAGGATGGGGCCGAGCTGAGGATGGGGAGAGGAGAAGCCCCCCCAGAGCCCCCTCCCCGATTTTGGGACACCCCCCCACGCTGGGGGACACCAGGGGTGGGCACAGCGAGCGTGGAGGTGCCTGAGCACAGCTGGAGCCAGCACGGGTGGCACTGGGACAACGGGGCTGTGCCACCCCCAGGGCTGGCCCTGCCCCCTGTGCCAAAGCTCAGCCCCCAGGAGCCGCTCCCGGTGCCCAGGGGGGGGCTGGGGCACGGTGCCAGGCCAGGGGCACGTGGAGGGGACAGGATGTGACACAGCCAGCCCTGAGTCACCGCTGGTCACCACAGCCAGCTGGGAAGGGACAGGAGGGGACAGGAAGGGACAGGAGGGGACAGGAAGGGCCCTTGGCTCCAGCCCCTTGTTCCCAACAGCTCCCACAGCGGGGCTGGGGGCTCCAGTCCCAGTTTAGAGACCCCATTTCCAGTTTGGGGGCTCCATTCCCACTTTGGGGAGCCCATTCCCACTTTAGAAACACCACTCCCAGTTTGGGGAGCCCATTCCCAGTTCACAGTCCCCACTCCCAGTTCACAGTCCCCATTCCCAGTTCAGAGAGCTCACTCCCAGTTTGGGGAACCCTCTCCCACTTTAGAGACCCCATTCCCATTTTGGGGAACCCATTCTCAGTTTAGAGACCCCATTCCCATTTTGGGGAACCCATTCTCAGTTTAGAGACCCCACTCCCAGTTTGGGGAACCCATTCTCAGTTTAGAGACCCCATTCCCAGTTTACAGTCCCCATTCTCAGTTTAGAGACCCCATTCCCAGTTTACAATCCCCATTCCCAGTTTACAAACCCCATTCCCAGATCAGAGAGCCCATTCCCAGTTTGGGGAGGCCATTCCCAGTTGACAATCCGCATTCCCAGTTGGGGGCCGGTGGCAGCCCCTCTCCTCCCTCCCCTCTCCCCTCCCCACTCCCCTCTCCCCTCTCTCCCCTCCAGCCCCAGCCCCGGCCAGAATCCTCGGGAATTCTCCGGGATGCCGGGCGCAGCTGCCGGGGCTGGCGGGAGCAGCTGCCGGCGGGGCTCGGGTTTCTGCTGGGGAGGGGGGACTGATCCCTGCAGCCCCCCGAGAGGGGCCCAGACCTGCCTGGGGGGCAGCAGGGCTGGGCTGGAGCTGGGGGAGGGGAGGGGGGGTGATGGCAGGGGGTCCCAGCACCCCAAAGCCCACCGGAACTCCGGAATCCTCCTCCTCCTCCTGGGTGTCCCCTGGATGGGGACAAAGGGAAAGGGAGGATCCCAGACCCCTGGAGAGACCCCAGACCCCCAGTTCTGACCCCAGCCCTCAGTTCTGCCACCTGGAGAGACCCCAGCCCCACATTTCTTACCCCTGGGCAGCTCCCAGCCCCCAGTTCTGCCCCCTGCCCCCCAAGGCAGACCCTGGTTCCCAAGTTCAGCCCCCCCAGCTCAGCCCTCAGACCCCTCCCCGCTCTTGGCACCCCTCCTGCAAAACAAAACCCATTTGGGGAGGAGGAGCACAGCCAGGCACCCCCGAAAAGTCTCTGCTGGGCACCCCCAGGGCACAGGGAGGGAGAGCAGAGACCCCCGGGGCCCCCCACCCTCACTGTGAGCTCCCTAGACCCTCCCATCACCCTTTTAGGACCCCCAGAGCTGTGGGGACCCCCCTGAGACCACCCACGAAGGAACTGGGACTGCCAGGGGACCCCCCTGGGACCCCCCAAGGAGTTCCTGTGATTCCTTCCTCACAGGACCCTCAGGATCCTCCTCAGGACCCCCCTGGGACCATCCAGGACCCCCAGGATCCTCCTCAGGACCCCCCTGGGACCCCACGAAGGAACCTATGACGGCCAGGGGACCCCTCTGGGACCCCCCCAAGGATCCCCATGATTCCTTCCTCACTGGGACCCCCAGAATCCTCCCTGTGAACATCCAGGACCCCCTGGGACCCCCAAAACCCCGGGAGCACCTCGAGCCTCACCCGTGACCCCTCAGCCCCCCCCAGAAACCCCTGTGGCCCCACCCCAGAACCCCCAAACGCTCCCAGTGTCACCCCCGTGTCCCCCCCACCAGACCACGCCCACAGCCCAGCCACGCCCATACATCATTATGATAATTTGGCTCCGCCCCTTGTCTTGGCCCCGCCCCCTGCCCCGCCCTCCGCGCACCCCGCGCGCCCCCTGCCGGACCCTCGCGGCATCGCATTGCCCACTCTTCCCTCTGATTGGCTCCCGCTTTCAGCCAATCAGAGACAAGGAGTCAACCCTGAGGCCGAGCCCAGCTGCTGTCTCAGCCAATCGCAAGGCGAAGCGGCGCCCCGCCTCGCGAGTTGGCAAGGTCGGCCCCTACAGCCAATCAGCGCCGGGCCCGCACGGTGATGGGCGGGCGGAGAAGGGCGTTTCCACCAATGGGCGCGGCGTGCGGCGCGGAGGAGGCGGGGTCAGCGCGGGGGGCGTGCCCGCGGCTTCCAGAGAGTTCGGAGACGGCGGCGGAGCGGCGGCGGCGGTGAGTGAGGGGGGGGCGGCCCTGGGACCCCGCCGCGACCCCCGGGACCCCCTGGGTACCTCCCCGAGCTCCCCCGACCCCCGGCAGGAGCCGGCCCGTCCCGCCCCGCCGTGTCAGCGGCGGGCCCGGCCCGCGCAGCCCTGAGGGGGCTCTTCGGGATGACCTGAGGGCCTGCAGGGCTCGAGGGGACTCTGAGGCGACCCCTCCTCCGTGAGCTCCGCGCTCGGCTCCGCTCCGCCGCACCGGCGTGGGCTCTGGGTGCCCCCGCGGCTGTGAGCGGGGTGTCACCGTGTCACTGCCTCCCGGACACCCGCGGGGCCGAGCCGCCCCACACGGGGCGTCCTGCCTTGGACCGACCCAGCCCGAGCGTCCCGGCCCCTGCCTCGGCCCTGAGGGTCCCGGGGGACAGACCCCGCTCCAGCCGCGGGGATCCCGCGCTGGACTCGACGGGACGGACCCGGCCCGGGGGTCCCCGTGGGACGGAGCCAGCTGCGCTCCCGGAGGAGCCGGTCCGGAGTGGGGCGCGGTTATTTACCGTGCGTGGGTCACGGCCGCTCCCCGCGTCCCCCCGGGGCGCAAGATAAACATGTCGCCACGCCACGCGGGGATTATCGGCTGTGACACATGGCCCGGCGGGGACAGGGGCACCCCCGAGACCGCCCCTGCTTGCCGGACCCCCGTGCGGTGCCCGGCTGTCCCCGCGGAGCGGGGTGTCACCGGTTGGGACATCCCCTGTCACCCGCGGGATGCTGTTGCTACAGAGGACACTTGGGGCAGGGCTGTGCATGAGGGAGAGCAGGGGTCGAAGCCTTTTCGGGGGGACGGGACTTGGGGTCCACCCCCACACTTGCAGGAGCCCCGTGTGGGGTCTGGCTGTCGCGTTGTTGTCACCACCCCCTGTCCCACTGCGGGGAAACTGAGGTAGGGCTGTGCAGGGGGACAGCAGGGCTCAGCAGGGTTTTGGGGGGCTGTCCTTGCTCAGGTCGGGGGGTCACGGGTCACACAGAGCTCCGGGCTGGGTGACAGTGCCAGGCTCACGGCTGTGTCCTGTCCCAGCACGTCACAGCACGGGAAGATGGTGAAGGAGACGGGCTACTACGACCTGCTGGGCGTGCGGCCGGGCGCCAGCCTGGACGAGATCAAGCGGGCATACCGGCGCCTGGCACTGCGCTACCACCCCGACAAGAACCCCAGCGAGGGCGAGCGGGTAGGTGCTCACTCAGAAGGTGACAGGAGGTGACAAAGCTGCTGGCACCTCTTGGTGGGAGGGGGTTGGTGCCCAACACAGCACTGCTTTGGAGGACAAGGGACCACTGGGAAGCATGATTGGGAGGGGGCTGGCACCCAAATGCAGTGTGACATTGGCTTGGGTGTCACAGACCTGCTGGGACCCCTGGGTGTTAGTGGTGGTGCCCAGCACAGAGCTGTCTCAGGAGTGATAGCCTTGCTGGGACCTTGGCATGAGAGGAGGCTGTGCCCAGCTTGGCACTGGCTCTGGGGTGACAGTTCTTCTGGGATCTAGGAGTAAGAGGAGGCTGTGCCCAGCACAGAATTGTCTCAGGGGTGAGAGCCCTGCTGGGACCCTGGGGTGAGAGTGGTCTGTGCCCAGCATGGCACTGGCTCTGGGGATCCAGCCATGCCCCCCAGGCTGTCTCTGCCCCTGCGGCACAGCCCGCTGCAGCTCCTCACCACCCTCATTACTTTCTCCACCTGCCTCTCTTCAAAGGGCCCTTCCCTGTCCCTGTCCCGGCTTTCCCCCGCCGTCCCCATCCCCGGGGCTGGGGCTGAGTCACCGGAGTGGCCCCGGGGGTGGCAGCAGGACGCGGGGCCAGGGCCAGCCCGGTGACTGTGGGGATGCCTTGGGCCCGGGTCACAGGGACACGGTGACTCGCCACGGCTTCTTGCTGAGATGGCACGAGTTAATTGCAGGGGAATTAGGAGGCCAAGGGAGTCATCCCAGCCACTCCAGCTGGAGCAGCTGGGGGTGGCTGAGAGCCCTGGGCTGGGAGCTGTGCCCTGCCCAGCTGGGGACCCGGCACTGCCCCAGGGCAGCTGGCAGCATCCAGGCTTGGAGTGAAACCATCCCTGTCCGTGTCCCTGCCTCTGTCCTTGAGGAAGGAGCAGGACTGGCTCACCTGGTGAGCCTGAGTGGTGTCCAGAGCCTGTCTGGCCATGGCACGGGGGGTGGCACGTGGCTGGTGCTGAGCCAGGCTCTCCCCCGTGCCCAGGGAAGACGGTGGTGCACCAGCTCTCGGTGTCGCTGGAGGATCTGTACAACGGCTCCACACGGAAGCTGTCCCTGCAGAAGAACATCATCTGCCGCAAGTGTGGAGGTGAGTGAGGGGCTGCAGGGGCCGGGGGGCCACCCCAGCACCCCCACCCCACTGTCTGACCCCCTGCCCTCCTCGGCACAGGCTGCGGGGTGCGGGAGGGCGCCCAGAGAAGGTGCCCCAAGTGCCACGGCTCGGGCATGGAGGTTCGCATCCACCAGCTGGGACCCAGCATGATCCAGCAGATCCAGACCGTGTGCTCCCAGTGCCAGGGCCAGGGCGAGTGGATCCGGCCCCGGGACTGCTGCCTCACCTGCAATGGCCGCAAGGTGGTGCGGGAGAAGAAGATCCTCAGCGTGCACCTGGATAAAGGTGAGCCAAGAGCAGGAGCAGGCATCGAAACAAGGGCGGCTCTGATGGGGAGAGAGAACGATGCCTCTGACTCCAACTTATCAGGAGGCTAAATAATTACTTTATTTTACTGTATTACATACATTGCATCTAAACTAAATCTGTCTGGCATTCCCCCTTGCTCACAACTGCACAGAACTGCACTCATCTCTGATTCTCTCGTGACAGTCCCACACACACACACACACACACACACTTGGCCCTGATAGGCCAAGGAAACAAAACATCCTCACTTTGGGTAAACAGTCTCCATATTGCATTCTACTTTGGCACAACACAGGCACAGCAAGTGGTAAGAATTGTCTTTTCTTTCTCTGATGCTCAGAGAACGTGAAACCCAGAAATACTCCTGGGAAGAATTGCGCCTTGCTTTTCTCTGTGAAGAGAAAACTGACAACAAGCAAGGTCACCCCAAAGTGCCGCACAGGCTCTGAGCTTTATCTGCCCTCCTCACAGGCATGAAGGACGGGCAGAAAATCACCTTCCACGAGGAAGGGGACCAGGTGCCCGGCCTGGAGCCCGGGGACATCATCATTGTCCTGGATCAGAAGGAACATCCTGTTTTCCGGCGCAGCGGCGACGACCTCATTGTCAGGAGGGAGATCAGCCTGGCAGACGCCCTGTGTGGGTGCAGGCAGGTGATCCACACCCTGGACAACCGCACCCTGCTCGTGTCCTCCCCGCCAGGTGAGGGGGCTCGGGCATGCACCTGGCAGTGACACACCACTGCCGGGGACTCAGGGATGCACCTGGCAGTGACACACCGCTATAGGAATGTGCCCCCTGTTGATGGAGTGACAAAACGATCCTTTGTCTCCTTAAAAAGGAAAAAAGCCCAGAAGTTTCTCTTCTCAATTTGGTGAAAAGACACCTCATAAGACCTGGGGAATACACCTCAAACTTAAGGATTGCCAATTGGACAGGAGCCAAAAAGTCCTGCCTAAGCAGTTTACTGGAAAAATAAGAGAACAAAAAAAATAATCCCTTTTGTGGGGTGTTTTACCAGGAGCAAGAACCTCTTGCACCTGGCTCAGTTTTTCTCTGTAGAGTTTTGTTATTTTGCCTTTTATTGAAAGCTTTCTGTTTCAAACACCACTGCAGAAGCCATCCTGCTGATTTTCTGCCTTCTAAAGTAGCTGAGCGATCTTGGCTGTGATATAAATCCCCAAGAGCTTACAAGACCTGGCTCAAAGAGACCAATATATCACACCAGGAGCTGCCAGCACAGCAGGGTGACCCTCATCTCCCTCTCTCAGGTGACGTGATCCGACCTGGGGACCTGAAGTGTATCCCCAACGAGGGCATGCCTGTCTACAGGAGCCCCTTTCAGAAAGGAAAGCTCATCCTGCAGTTCGAGGTGAGCTACAGCAGGGCAGTGGGAGTTGATATTTCCCGAGTTTGCCACCCCACGGCTCACATCCGCTCTCTGGTCTCAGGTGAAGTTCCCCGAGCCGGGCTGGCTCCCCACGGAACGCCTGCGGCAGCTGCAAGCCTTCTTCCCGCCGCAGGAGGAGGTGATGGCCACGGAGGACACGGAGGAGGTGGAGCTCAGCGATTACAGCGCTCACGGTGGGCCGGGCCGGCGGCCCTACACCGGGGAAGCCTATCACGAGGATGACTTCGAGGACGGGATGAGGCAGCACGTTCAGTGCCAGACCTCATAGCGGGGAGGGGAAGCCCGGAGCCCCCCCGGGGGCAGGGGCAGGGCCCGGGCCGCGCGGTGGGGAGGGGCTGGCGGAGCCACCACGTTCAGGGATGTACATAGGTCGCCTTTCCGACAGCGCTTCACCTCCCCCGCCCCCCCCCGGGAGCCGGCAGAGCCCCCCTGCCCTGCCGGGTGAGGCCCCTGCCCTGCCTCCAGCGCCGGGGCTGCCGTGGGCAGGGGGCTTGGGGGGCGTGGGGCGGGCTCCAGCTGCCGGTGGGCACAGCCCAGCCCTGGCTGGAGAGGAGGAGGGGGTACCTGCTACCCCTGCCTCAGTTTCCCCATCTGCTGTGGTGGGGCTAAGCTTGTGCTGGAGGCAGTGTGGGGAGGAGGGGAACTGCCCACCCCCTTTGGGGATGCCCCACTCCCAGCCCCACACTGGGGGTCCTGCTGCCCGGGCCCCCAGCTCCTTGCTTTGCCCATTTCTTTTCTTACTGGAGCCTGGGATGCAGAGGGGGTGGCTCTTTTCTCTTTGCACAGGACAGGAGGGGTTGGGGGGGACCCGTCCCTTCCCTTTAATTTATTTTTGGAAGAATTTTAGAAGTTTTTCTTTTTTTTTTTTTTCGGTTTTTTTGGGGGAGGGAGGGGTGGTGACTTTGTACTTGGCATTAAACGCGAATCCCGACTCAGTGTGTGGGGTTGAGCGTGGGACAGTGTGTGGGGCAGGGTGTGGGGTTGAGCGTGGGGCAGCAGGAGCCCCGGGGCAGTGACTCTGCCCTGCTTTGATCTCGGGTGTGCCTCAGTTTCCCCATCCTTACACAACTGGGAGGTGCTGGATCCTGCCTTCTCCTGCCCCTGGCTGCTCCCAGCTCCTCCTGCTGCAGCAGGGGAGCACACAGACCCCCAGCCTGGGTAGGCAGGGGTCTGTCCCACTTCCTTTCCCCCCTTTGCCAGCCCTGCAATCCCCTCTTGTCCCTCTGCCCTGTATTGACATCGTCCTGACCCCGTGCACACCCCCAGTCCCTCACCCTGTCCTTGTCACTTCCAGAACCCGTTCCCAGTTACCCTCCTGGACCCTCTGCATCATCTCAGCGTTCCTGGAGACCCCACAATGGAGGCAGACTCCCCCCACCTAGCTTCAACCCCCCCTTTTTCAGCCCTGCACTCACCCCATGGGAGGTTCCAGCCATGGCACAGAGCTGGGCTGCTGAGCTGTTAAGGGGAACACCCCCCAAAAAAAATACCCTACTGAGGGGTCAGCTGCATCCCATAACCCCCCCTGCCCCCTCCACATGTGGCTGCTGGCCCAGACTCCCCTCACAGTGGGATGGGGGTGAAACCCCCAACCCCTGCCCAGGGGAGCCCAGGCTGGGGGGTCTGTGGGGCTGGGCTTGGAGGCTCCCCCTCCCCTGGAACCCAGGAAAGCTCCGGCGCCAGCTGCAGCTGGAGGGGGAGAGGAGGAGGAGAAGGAGGAGGAGGAGGCAAGGAGAACAATGCTGGCCGGCCGCCAGCCGAGGGGAGTGGGAGGGAAGGGGGGGATCCTGCCCAGCCCCCGGCCCGCCGGGCACAGGGAGGGCTGAAGCCGCTTGGGAGGTGACAGTCACTGTGCCCCGGTGACAGTCACTGTGCCCCGCGGCTCACTACGCCTTGCTGAGCCACCCAGCGTCAGCGTCCCTGCTGCCCTGAGCCGTGGGGACACCCCCGGGGACACGTGTGTCACCCCAGTTCGGGAATACCCCCGAGAGCAGGGACCCCTCCCGCCACGCTGGTGCAAGGAGCTGCCCCCCTCAGGGGCAGGACCCTGTGCCGTGTGCCAGAGCCCACCTGGGCACGGGGCACCATGGCTGTGTGATGCCCCAGCCGTGCCAGGCATTGAGCAGGGTCCCCAAGCTTGTTACACGTCTAGAGACCCCTCTGGAGAGCAAGACAGCTGAGGGGCTGAGACCCCCCTGGGGCTGACACCTCCCAGTCCCCAGCTCCTCTGTCAGGAGGTTTTTTTGGGGGGGGGGGGGGTGCCTAGGAGCCAGCCTGGGCCATCCATGGTGGGCTCCGAGCTGGGCAGCAGCCGGCCAGGAGGGTCTGGGGGTGACTGGGGGGTGACCCCAGCCCTTGGGGGCGCAGCTTGGCTGGGCTCATGCTGGATGTGTCTGGGGTTGTTCCTGCAGCTCAGCCTCCCTCTCCCCCATCCCCCGCGTCACCGGGAGCGGGGTGGCCCCCCCAAGCCTGTCCTGTCCCCGTGTCCCCTGCAGGGACATCCCCGCAGGGCAGGACCCAGCGCACCCCCCTGGCTTCAGGCCGATCCAAGCCCCCCCCTCTCCCTCCCGATGGCTCCGGCACTGAGCAGGGAGGGGGATGAGACGCAGCTCCCCCAACCCAGCCCAACCTCTGCTTCCAGAAAATGCACGGAAGAATTCCGGGGTGAGGGGCCAGGGCCCCCCAGGGTCGGGCATTCATTCACGGAGCGGGGAGGGGGCCGGGCCCCGCTTTGTCTCCGCAGATGAAAGGCGAGGGGCCAGCCCGGCCCCCTCCCCAGCCCGGGGGGGCAGCGGGGCCGCCCGGGGGCCACCGGGGTCACCGGGGAGGATTAGTGCCGGATTAGAGGCGCCGGGACCTCGACACCACCCAGGCGGAGCCGCGGCAGGGGGGCACAGCCTCGGGAGCACTTTTGGGGTTACTCACGGCCCCTCTACCCCAGCCCCCCTCCCCAGCTCCGCTGGAGGAATTTGCTTTTGTTCCGAGAGCAGCCGTGCTGCGGGGAGGGGGCACCTCCCGCCCTGCCCCTCGGAGCCTCCCAGCACCCCCGAGCAGCCGAACGGGACCCCCGGGCCGCTGTGGGGGGAGCGCAGGCAGCCCCAGCCCCCTCCCCATCCAGCCGTGCCCC